AGCAACTGGCGCTGCTTACAATAATTCAACAGCAAGACTGTAGGTGTAGGTTCCTCCCTTTTTGTCCAGTCTATTTAAAAAGAGAATCGATCGCATCAGTTGCGTTTCTAGACACAGTTGCTTCACGATAGGAAACGGGAACGCGCATGCATTATAAACAGTTACGCCCATCACCTCAGCTGTTAGCGCCAGTGATTATCCTCTCATTCGGTATTCACATTCTTTGCTCGCGCAAAGTTGCGAAAGCAATTATTTTTGTCAATCGTGTTGCTTCTCGATCGCCTGTGCATGCATATTGGACCATCCTTATTGTCGAACCCTGCTTTTAAGAATTATAATCTGGGAAAATTATTTTCAACTAGCCAAAGTGGCTAGTGGGAGTGTCTGTCTTACCCGCCACAGCCGAAATCTACCCGCATTTGGCGGGTTGGCAGGTGTTAATGTAAAGCCCTGTGTGTGTGTGTGTGTGTGTGTGTGTATATATATACACACACACACACACACACACACACACACACACACACACAAACACACAGATATACAAACACACAGATATACAAACACACACACACACACACACACACACACAGGGCTTTACATTAACACCTGCCATATATACATACATATATACATACATATATATATATATATATATATATATATATATATATATATATATATATACACACACACATACATACATATATATATATATATATATACATACATACATACATACATACACATTTATATATATACACATGTATATTTTGTATTATTCTTGTAATCTTATCAAGTAAATCATTAAGATATTTAAAAATGGTAACATTGAATTTAAAATAAATACAAAACAGTGAACAGTTAAATTAAATACATCACTTGATTTTTGTCAAAAGGCAGAGGTGGCAAAATATTAGACTGAGATGACCGCTTTGTAATGCTTTATGCAGGAAAACCTGTCAGTGTCTGAGTGTCTGTCTATACATAACTACAAGACAGAAATGCTTCAAATAACTTTCATGAAAATATAATGTCATAATATTGATTTATTTAATATGCTTCACATTATGCAGGACTCCTAAACCAAGCCCATGGCAAAAGCATCTGTCTTATCTTTGTGTTTTTTATCATTTACATTGATTATTATTTAGTGTTTTGACAACAAGAACAAATAGTCTGCGGATAGGAATACTTACACCTGATACAGGTACAGTGGAGCTGACATCAGGGTCCTGAATGGGGCATTCAAGCATGGACTCATCACCAGGTGGTAGAGACACATTCCTCCTCTTGAACAGCTGCAGAGGGAATAAAACTATTCATTATATATATTTACACAGAACTAATACATCAATAAGTCGGGTGACATGAATTATGTTTTAATTAAATACTTCTTCCATTGTGTTCAAGAAATCCATGAGTAAATGTGCAATTTAATGAAATAGATTAGAGAAGAACAAAAGATAGCAGACCTGCTCCTCCCTCTTCTGTTTACGGAGCTGTATCCCTTCTTCCTCTCTCCGTCTTCGCATTTCCTGGGGGTTCAGGGCTTTATTCTTGTAGCTCTTCATTCGATAGTTATCTTTGCCTGGGCTTGCCATTGCGTCTTCAGATAAGCAAAAGGAATGTGGTCAGATCTCATTTCATCCCAATACTCAATTGCAGTCTAAAATCATCAGATTTAACTGTGCAATGAACTAGACTAGAGTACAGACTATGAGATTCAAAACTGGTTAAGCCAGCATGCAATTCTACTCATTACTTGAGTTAAATAAGTGAAAACCAAAAATCAGGTTTAACTGAAAGCAATTGAGCTTATTGTTATTTGTATTCCTATATTAACTCAAGCTGTTGTCCCATTTACTGGTTGAGCTTCATTTTGACAGTGTCCTTTAGAGCAGAGGTTCCCAAACTTTTCAGCCCTTTAACCCCAAAATAACAATGCGAGTAACTTACGACCCCCAAGGTGGTTTTAAAGATATAAAAAGTTGTACACACATCTATAGGCACATATAAACAGGAGGTTGGAATGCAACTTCTTAAGGCAAATGCAATGGGGCGGGGGGGGGGGGGGGGGGGGGGGGTCGTGAGATAATGACAAGAGAATGCTTGGTGATACAACCTTTATGGCACTCTAATACATTAAGATATTTATACATCAAATGTGCATTCCAAACTTTTTCTTGATTGAGAAGAGTTGAATTCTTCCATCATTTGCAGTGTTTCTAAATTGCATTATTAATAATTTCTAACAATTTTTTTTATCAGTTTCATCTATTATTTTCTGTAAAGCTGCTCCTGACCATGATATGTCCACATTAAATGGTCATAAGAGATGTGTTAAGGGATTATTTGAAGCATCTTTAATTTATTCTCTTAGGTAAGGAGAAAACTCCACTTAAATCAACTTAGAGGGAAAATGTGCTTAATGCATTATGAAGCTTGAAGCATCAGAATCAGTACTCCTGTATCAACACAATAAACAAGGAATCGGTACTCATTATCAGCTGTAAAAACCCTGATCTGAGCATACCTAGATCACATATTGCAAAATAACCACACATTATTTATATATCAACAACATGAAACAGGAAATGATATATAGAACAGAGAGATGATACACAAAACACTCTTGGCTCGTGTTACAATCAATATGGGTTAATAAAATATATATTTTTTTATCATTACTTGCTTTTGCCTTTGATACAAACTTAATATAATATATAGTTTAAATCTGACGTGACTAGCGCACTTCAACAACATCATGTAATGTGTAATATTTAAGCATGAGAATAGTTGGTTTTTGTGGCTGTTTGAATGCATACAACCAAATGATCATCTACACCACAAGAGAAATTTAATTCAAGGTGATTTCCAAAACTCTAAATGTGGTTAAGGTAAAAACATCCAGTTAAATCTGTGTCAGAATTGTCCACTCCAAACAAAATGCATTCTAATACCAGGTCACAGCTTGAACAGGGTTTCAAGTTAGGCCTTCAAGAATGTGCTGACGTACTAGCAAAGTTACTTATAGTCTGAAGAATGCCTGTTGATGGAACATTCAAACAGATATTACGTGGTCTTCTAATCAATGCACTAATAACTACATACTGACATATTTCTGTAGTTTAGTTATAGCACTAGTAGTTTATTAATCCTGGTTTCTCCAGACTCAAGCCAGATCCTATTTATGTGCCCAATTTTGTATAAAATCTCAGAATTTATGCAGAATAATTTTTAGAGTATAGTTAATAAACCTAAACTGAAATTTTATTAAAAAAAATGTTACCATACTTGGTCACAAGTGACAACTTTCTTTAAAAAATAAAAATTGTTTAGAACTTAAAAAATGTGTTAGAATTGCTGCAGGGATTCCTCTGTCTCACACACACACACACACACACACACACACACACACACACACACACACACACACACACACACACACACACACACACACACACACACAGTGAAGATCTACAAGGACATGCGTTTTTGATCCTTGCACTGAATTGTAATGGACAACATGCCATTTAAAGTCACACCTAATGACATAAATTTGTGCTTTTGCTTTGTTTTGATTTCTTTTGCCAATGTTGCATTCATATTTAAGTTGAACCACACAAGAATCATTTCAGTTTGTTTAGTACACGCCACGATTCAGATGGCAGATTTACCAGAATCTACACTCATTCAAATTAACTGCATAACGAAATTACAACTCAGTTTTAATCGAACCAAACCTGCCAAGCCCAAAAATATGCCTAAAAATATGTGCAATAATACATTTTTTGGTCCACACACAGTACTCTTTCGAATATTGGCACATCAAAGTAAATGTTTAATCCCCTCAATAAGATTAATAACAAATCAGCCTTTTCTGCAAAAGGACAGACTGGTTCACCAACAAGTATTGATGATTGAGGTAAAGTTGGTTTTACATTAACACATTCAGACTTAATAATATAATTTCAAAAAAGTATTACTTGCAAATTCCAAACAGTGAAATTATATAAGCAGTCAATGACTAACCGTGTTCACAGTCAATTAAATAGTGCTAAGTTGTTTTGAAGTCATCCTTGCAAGCGATTTTAGACCGAATATTCAAAGTAGCGTGGTAAACAATAAAGGAACCGTTAAAGTGAACGAATGAGCGAATAGAAAACCAACTTTACCTCAATGTATCGATGCATAGGAATAGTGCAATAATAATGAATGCAGGCTGTCAGCCCCAACACCTGCTTACACTGAGGAGGACAACATATCACGCAGTTATGAACTGAAACAACTTGACGTTTAACAGAAATGTAATTTGTTGAAGGGACATTCACTCCAAGACTCAAAACATGCTGTCGACATCTTCTCTAACTTCTGAAAAATAGGTTTACATAAATAAAGCACTCGTGTTTTAATCGGATCAGCTGATTGTGTTGGTGAGGAAAGACTGTAAAGTAATTTAATAGACATTAAACTTAACATTCACTACATGAACTGTTCTTGTTTTAAAATGACTAAAAGCATCTTTAATCGTTAATACAAGCCGATTAAAATGAAACGTTCCTTCGGCAATGTTAGCGCAATTAGCACATGCTTTAACGGGACAGCTGGACGACTTGAATCAAAAAGTCTGTCAAAACCACTAGTACATTTTAATACGTTACATATTTATAGTCAGCCTAACGTTAATCCTGCAGGCCTCTTCACTTTCACCCTGATCTGCGATCAGCTTCCTTGTGCTAACACGCTAACCGTGTTGTGCTAGCTTAGATTGAACGTCAAAACGTCCCTCTGCTCTCTATAAGCGCCCTGCTTTAACATTCACTCCCTAAAAAGAAACGTCATTTACATATTAGAAAGTATACGAGTCATACCCATTTGTTGTAGACTGGAGAGAGAAATACTGGCCGTGTGTTTTTAAATTTCTCACAAGACCCTCCCGAGTTCCTCCAGCTGAGGGCAATATGGCGTCGACTGGAGAGGAACGTCATCTCCTCTGCTGTTTCCGGTTTTCTCGAGCGGCCTCATTCAATAACAAATGAAAAGTGAAACGGCCGATTGTTGGTGTTTGCTTATTTACTTCTGTATAGGTAAGTAGCATACCACTGGCGATTTAAATGCATTAGTAGGACTTTTTGTTATTGTTGTACATGAAGCGATTATAAGAAGGGTTTTGGCGGGATACATGTTATTGTGTAACCGACTAACGTTAGTTAAGTTAACTGGTTTTCTTTGTTGACAGTCAATACACAACGTCGCGTCAGGTGCATCTTGATAAAACCCAGGTTTCTGCTTAACTGAGGTCAAATCGTCACGTCTGAGTTTTGTAATAGTATATACATAATCTAAACAAAAGCTACACTTACATAAATTTGTCGAAATAAAATGTCAAGTAATGTCATGTAACATAATATTTGCTATATATCAAATATTATGACAGCATTTATATCACATAACTAGTTAAAACTTAGAATAAACTAATATTACATTTCCTCCAATAACTGTTTGAGTCTTTAAGGATGATTTTGTCATTTAGATGTTTTTTTCTCTATCAGGGTCTTAAAAAGTCCTAAAATGTCTTAAATTAATTAAAACATTGTCTTGTAGTAGGTCTTAAAGTATTTTAAAGAGCTCTTCATTTTCATGTTACCTAACACTCATCCAATCACCAACGATCCATCTAAAAACTTTTAACAAAACTCTTATTTCTAACTCTACTTATCAATATGGTTTAATTATCTTTCTTACGCTAACATTTTCTCAGTTGTCTGTGCATTTATAGATCATATGAGGAGGACACTGATCTGGACAGAATGTTGTGCACACATATAGATTATTATAGTTTTTTGTTTTAGTTTTGTTTGTTTGATTGAAAAAAGTTATGTTGAAAAAAAAGTATATAAACAACCAAAAATGTGTGGCTAAGAAATGTTGCTGGTTTGTGTCCCGGCTGGGCCAGTCGGCATATCAGTGTGTAGTCTGCATGTTCTCCCCATGTTGGCGTGTGTTTCCTCTGGGTGCTCCGGTTAAAATATGCGCTATAGGTGATTTGAATGTACTACATTCAATTGCTCATAGTTTGTGAATGTGAGTGTGTATGGGTGTTTCCCAGTACTGTGTTGTGGCTAGAAGCACATCCGGTGCGTAAAATTTATGAATAGTTGGTGGTTCATTCTGCTGTGGCGACCTCTGAAATAGAGACTAACGAATGAATGAATGAATAAATGTGGCAAAGAAATAACTAACTAGATTTTTTGTAAGGGGCAAGTAAACATTTTTTTCCATGGGACATGGATAAGGTTATTTTCTAAGGCCATTAGAAAATAACCTTAGTGTTTAGGCCTGTATAAGTCTGCAATTTCATTCATAATTGTCTAAAACAGTTATTTTAAAAGTATTAAATTTTACTTCGTGCACCCTGCAGAAACCCTGCTCGATTGCATTGTTTATAAATGTAAACATTTTTATGGAAATCACAATAACTGTAGTAAACATTTGGCTGAAACTCATGGCAAATTAATCTGTTTGTTTCACCCAGCCTCGAAACAATGCCTGTGTGTGACATCTGCTGTGAAGAGCTTCTGTCTGAGGCAGAGATGAAAACACATCTCCTGCTGAGCCACATGGAGAATCTGATGGCCTGTCCATTCTGCTCTTTATCCGGAGTCTCGTATGATGAACTGAGCTTCCACATCAACACCGCACACACGGACAAAGATTACCAGGACACAAATGTGACAATGGTTAACAGTGGACAGAAAAATGACTGCATTACTAAAAGTACCTCAAATGTAAATGCAACAAATACGTGCAAAGCATCACATCAGCTGCTACCTCAAGTAAATGGGACGGCTACCCAAATTACAGGGACTAGTCATTCCCAAGGACCCTCAGCTAGTCGTAAAAGTTCACCACCTGCAGCAGCTACAGCGAATGGTGCAATAAAACTGGTCAGAACAACACAAACACCCAGTAATTACACCAGAAGGAAGAGTGAAGATGGGCACCAAAAATCAAAGCAGAAGCGCTTGTCTTCACCATTTAAAGGTGCTCTTGGCTTTACAATATCAAGCTGATTTTACATTTCACAAGTAATTAAATTAACACTACAGAGCAGAATATTTGTGCATCTCAGAGCAACAACAGGGTGTCCACAGGGTCTTACAAAGTATTGAAAGTCGATTAATCAATTTACAGAAATTGAAGGCCCTTAAAAAGTACTAAAACATCTTAAATGGGTTTTTTTTTTAGGTATTAAATGTTGCATCATTTTTTTATTCTACAATATATAGTTGTATGCTAAAGTTTGCCTGAATTTAATCTGAATATTGGGGTGCTGTGTAATTCATGAAATCAATAAATTCGACAGTTATTCCTGCAGTTCTACAGGCGCGAATTAGCATTTTTATTGCAAATATATGGAAAGTGTCTTAAAAAAGGTATTGAAAGTTATTAATTTTTGTTTTCAGATTCTTGTATATAGCCTGAACATGAAGTCAATGATTGAGGGGTGCATTTAGGAAGATGTTCACTTGTTTGGTTTTTTAAATGAACCGGTAGTTTTGAACAAATTATTTGAATGTATCAGATTCAGGGAATGCCTTAATAAGACAGGTAGTCACCTACTAGCATTTTTATTATCATATTAATTTATCATGATTAGCATAGTAAAGATACCTCCACAAAAATTCAGCTTCATATTGGTTCATTGTCTTTATCAAAAGAAGTTAAATATTAACAATATTGGATGGTGATATATAAAAAAAAATAATAAAAGTTTGTAATGCCCACCAGCAGAACATTTTGTTTAATTAAAAAAAAAAAAAAACAAACAGTAAAAACCATAACGCTGTTAAAAATACTACAGTTAAAAACAATGTAATACTCCAACAAATATTGAAAAATATTTTATAGATATTATTGAACATGGTGTGCCTACTAAAAATAATGTAGCCCATTTATATAGGAAATTAATGCAAGATAAGTCTGATGACTCTTATTATATCAAAAGAAATTGGGAATTAGAGTTAAACACTAAAATAGAGGATGAAATGTGGGAACAAATATGCACAAATTTTTTATAAGGGTATAAGCAGTCAAATATGGAAGGAGTTTGACTGGAAGATGAAGATGAGAATTTTCAGAGTTCCATTAGTGGTCGGCATTATAAGTTTTAGATACAAGTACTAGTATCTGATATAAATACTCTATGCTAATAATTTTCTCTTTGTTAATTGCAGAAGGATGCTTCCCATGTCCAATGTGCAATTTGGTTTACAGTGACTGCTTTGCTCTTCAGGAGCATGTTGAGATTCATCTACAAGACCAAGATGCAGGTGAAGGTTAAATATATCATAACCACAATATAACAGCAACAAGCGTATTTGAGTTTATTTTAAAATCTTTTTATCATTAACTGTCAATATTTGATATCTGATGGTTTGTCAGGAACTGGGTCTGATGTTGAAACATTAACTAAAATATCTGCTGAAAGCAATGACAGAGCGGGTGAGTTAGCTGCGATTTTAGTTATTTTGGTAGTTCTGCTCATTTAAAAAGTGGATCGGCAGGCTACATCAACCCAAATGTACCACTGTGATCTTCAGGTGGGATGCGTTATGAGTGTCCGATGTGTTCCCTGAGGTGTTCCTGCAGCAGTTCACTGCAAGAGCATGTTGAGCTGCATTTGGAATACAGCTCTGCATCTGCTACAGGTATGTGCATCTGTAATGTCAGCTCCACTGTTCTCATGCAAGGTTCATTAAATTTCTGGATGATCATGGATTTTAAAAGGTCTATTCCAGACGGTCCATGCGCTGAGCGCAAAATGCAGGGCGCAAACGCTTTCAGGGCGTGTCAGAACGCATTTTTGCTAATTTACGGACGGGAAAATTCGCTTTGCGCCATGGCGCATGGGCTAAAAGGGTTGAGTTTATTTTCTTAATGAGTTATAGGTGTGTTTTGAGAATAAACAAATTAGAGTCTCATCTCCCATTCCCTTTAAGAGCCAGCTGCGTCACGCCAAGAGCACATTCGCTATTTACAGGACGCAAAGTAAGTCTAAGTGGAAAAAATGAGCATTTCACAAGCAAACAGTTAACAGTTGACAGTTTTTTAACAGAAAACTGTTAAACAGAGCATCTACTGCGTAAGAATGAGAGATAATGGATCTACTTTCACATTTGCTCTTGGATAGGGAAACCTTTACGCACAGACATCAATTAGCCTATAAATAATTTATTTCGTTTGTTAAGAGCAAAGATTTGTTTTAAAACTATTTCTAAATTCAGTTCTAATTTCCAGCAAACGAATAAATGAATAATAATTACCAAGTGTGGTCAAAATACTGAGTTATTTCCAAATACACCTGCCATGGCCCATATGGTCTAAAACCTGACAGGTGGGCAAATCTAAGCTTGTTTTTAATAAAACAAATATACATATGGATATAATAAATAATACTGCTAATAATAATAACATTATACAAAAGCAAATTGTTATGAATGAACTGAAAAAGCCTCCCGAGATGAAGAACACATAAAAGCAGTGATTTTTCATATTTATGTAGGCTAGAAAATAATATGTTTTGTCATATTTTAATCCTTTATATTTATATCCTATATCTATTCTTATTATATCCTATATATATCCTTAATATTTAAATTTTTTCATATGTAAAGATATTTGCCTATTGCTCTCTTGTGCGTATTAAGCAGTGCGTAAGCGAGGCGCAACTCTGCGCCGGAGTTTAGACCCGGTTAGTTTTGGTCTAATGAAAAATCTATTTTAGTTTCTCAAAATAGCAACGCGCCAGCGGTCCGCCTCAGAACGCCTTCCTTTTTAGACCAGAACGCCTATGGGCGCACAAATGAGCGCTAATGCATTTGCTACTTAAACAGCGTAGCGCAACGCCTCAAAACGACTCTTGCGCCAAGCTGAAACTACCAAAAGACTATTGCGCCGCGTCTTGCGCCACACTTTGTGCTGCTATTTTATTCTGTTCTCACTTGTCAACAAGAAATCAAATTCTGTCACCAGGCTGTACTTATTAAAATACTGTGTATGGCTGTTCTTTTGTCTGCTCACTGTTAAACCAGGGACTGCTGGAATTTTGGGAAATTTTCTTTATTATTGCTGCCTACAATGACGGATTTTGCCTCAAAATTTCTCAAAATTTGCAGAACTTTTTGAAGCATTTTAATTTTGTTAAAATCTCATCAGCAATCACATTATAAAAATCACGTTAAAATTTTTTATGTTAGTAGCCGATATAACAAACATAGCATTGTTCAAATAGGCTTTGGCTGAATGCACAAAGAGATGATGTGACATAACGCATCCAAAGTGGGTCCTAAGGACAAGTGTTGTCGCATAACTTGCAGTATCACACATTGCATGAGCGCTTTCTATACTCATATATATTTTTGTTATTTGATATAAATTGATATTAGATATAAAAGGAATTTGAAAATATGTTCGAACATTCATCATACCCGACCGAAGGAATCTGAATCTGAAGGAAATCTGAGGCAACTAGAAGAAAAGTGTAAGCTTCTTTATTTATTTTTTTTGCACCATTTGCTTAATTTTTATATGAAATTAAGCAATTACAGAATTCTGGAGGGACTGCTCAACACAACATGTGGCTGTTCTTCTTTTTATTAAAGGTCATGGAAATTCAGCTTTTTGTCTTTATTTCTTTTAGTGACAGTCAGGGAATTTTGCATTTGGCTTAGAAATGAATCCTGCAGCTCACACAATGTTACAAAACAGTTACGATTTATCATAGACCATACCATACACCCCAACTTCTGCTTTCTGAAAGGATCTTGACTTAAAGGTTCATTTGTTTGGGTGTTTTAAGGTCATTCACCGGGGGAAGATCTGACTCTGGCCAGGAAGCTTCAGGAGGAAGAGGAGCAAAACTGGAGGGAGGTACAGACAAGGCGGGAAGCTGAAGACTTTAAGAAGCTCCAGGTAATCTACTGAAAACCTCACTGTCAGAATTTAAAAAAATGTTAAGAAGAATTTTTTTTTCATTCTTGCTGTTTAGACACTTATTTCTTTCTTCATTGTTTGATTTCTTCAGAAGCAGTTTGGGCTTGATAACAGTGGTGGCTATCGGAAGCAAATGGAGAGGAATCTGGACAGGGCTGTGTCTCGAGGTCAGATGCTTCCTGCAGATTTCCACAGGAAGAGAGCGGAGATGCTGGAGTCTTTGGCCTCAGGGGTGGATGATGGCAGAAGCAAAACTTCAGGTCTGATTCTGACTGTTATCATAGTGCCACACTAATACTCTCTACTTACTTGATTCTGCTGGAAGATTATTAGGATCAAATTCTATCTCTTTTCAAATTAAGTAGAGAGAAAATTGTCAAAACTTTGGAGTCTGTAAGATTTTTTTTGTTTGGGGTGGCACGGTGGGTCAATGGTTAGCACTGTGTAGAACAAATTATAATGTAGATTAAAGTGCTCTCATATCTATATTATAATTTGTTACAACTGTCACCTCACATGGTTGCTGGTTCGAGTCCCAGCTAGGCCAGTTGGCATTTCTGTGTGAAGTTTGTATGTTCTCTGCGTGTTGGCATAGGTATCCTCTGGGTGCTTATTTTACCGTCAAGTTTCTGACGGTAAAATAAGTTCTTTTTAAATTTCAAAAAAAAATTCTTTCCCTATTGAACACAATTTGTTTTATTTTAAGAAACATTTATGATGTTTTGGAGCAGTAAACCTGTCAGGCTAAATAGTTTAAATAAATCATTGACTTCTGCTCTCTTTGTTAGTTTCAAAAACACAGATTTCTCATAACACATAAAAATACATAAATAAAAACCTTACATATATCTTGGGAATGGTATAACAGAACATTTAAGCGGTAATAAAACCTTAATATTCAAGTAAAAAAAAAGCACTATCTGTGGTGTCAATACACCATTTTCAGCAACTACCAATCCTTTAGAAGTTATTATAATGCTGATTTCATGTTTAAACATTTCTTTTATCGACGTTGAAAACAGATGTGCTGCTTTAATGTTTTGTGAAAACTGTCATGCAATGAAAAAATATATAGTAATGGGAATGGAATCTGTTTTGTAAGATTATAATTGTATCATGTCTGCTGTGCATGTATGCTGTCATTTAATAGTCACATAAAAAGTGTCCTTGTTGGATAGAAATATAACTTTATTTACTTTACATTATTTTTAACATTAAAAACAACTTACTGACCAAATCTTTGCAACGATAGAGTATGTATATATTCATAACTAGGATATAGTTAGACAATGGTTTTAAAATTTGTAATTTTTTTTTACTTTATTTGTTTTCAGATATATTTATTCAGTAATAATACTATTAATATGTTGATAATATGTTTTTATTAAGTAGCATTTCTGTGTTTTTGCAAAATCAAAGATACAAGAATTATATCAATTAAAATCATACAAAACAATTGAAGAACCTGTTTATTTGATTAATAGATATATTTTATTAGTAATAATAGTATCAGTAATGATGAAAATAATTCAACATTAGTAATATGCTTCTAATATATTTTTTCCATTTTAAATTCATACTAAAAAACGAACTGCATCAAATAAATTGATATTAGGCAACTGAAGACTTGGTTAACCTTTCCGTTTCAGGTCTTATGGAAGCTCTGTATAGATATTATCAGAGAGACGCGTCTGACTGTGCGCATGTCTGGCTTTGTGCTGAGACTGATCACTACTCCTCTTCGGAGGGGGATAAAGGATGGGGATGTGGATACAGAAACTTCCAGATGCTTCTTTCATCTTTGCACAGGATGGAGCAGTATAAGCATTTACCTGGTAACATGATGTTGTTCTTGTAGCTCCTTGTTGATTTTTCACTCTGACAGTTACAATTAAAAAAATATTTTCCCGCACAGTTTCAGTGCCCAGCATTCCCAGAGTCCAAGCTTTGATGGAAGAGGCGTGGGCTCAAGGTGCAGATCCTCAGGGTGCTTCACACTTCAACAATCGGCTGCAGGGCACACGGGCTTGGATAGGAGCTACAGAAATATATGCAGTCCTCACTTCTCTTAGTGTGAAGTACGTATGGCAGCTCAAAGCCTGCATCGACATAACAACTACAAATCAGAAATATTCAGTAATTTTAAACAAAATGTATACGTCAGTGTGCATTAAATTGATCTAAAGTGAAACTGAGTCCAAATTACTAAAGATTACTTAAAATTTTGCCATAATTTACTCATCCTTCACTTGTGCCAAACCTGTTTTAATTTAGTTTTTCTGTTGAACACAAAAGAAGATTTACAGTACTGAGAAATGTCATGAAAAACAGACATTGATTCTAGACATTGACTTTTTTGTTACTACTACGTTAATGGGTGTTTTTTTCCAAGATTCATAGAAATTTAAATAACTTTAAAACTTGAGAGTAGATGGTGACATTTTTTTGGGGATTGAACTATCCCTTTAAAGCAGGAATGTCAAACTCAATTCCTGGAGGGCCGAAGCCCTGCACAGTTTAGTTCCAACCCTGCTCCAACATACTTACCTGTAGGTTTCAAACAAGCCTGAAGGACTCAATTAGTTTGATCAGGTGTGTTTAATTAGGGTTGGAACTAAACTGTGCAGAGCTGCGGCCCTTTTGGAACTGAGCTTGACACCTGTGCTTTAAAGCATTGAAACAAAGGAATTCAGACACTTAGCAAATTGTCTGTGTGTGTTGAAAATAAATGATTTTTGATATGCATACATGCCTTAATTCAACCTTTAAATGATACGTTATTTAGAAATGTACAGCTATGTGATTCAACTGTAGGTGCCATTTTGTGGTCAAACACACCACATTTGGTGAGACATGGGATTGAACAAGTGCACCTTTCTGTGAATGTAAATGCACATTTTAGTCCTCTCAAATAGGGGAATATTTTTCAACACAGACCATGATTTAGAAAAGAAAAAAATATATTTAAAATAAAGTCGTTTTTAGTAAAACACATAAAAATGTAATGTGGTTTCCTCAAAACTATTAGGATGCTTTCAGTATTGATAATAAGAAATGTTTCTTGAGCAGCAAATCTTTATATTACTATGGTGTTTTAAGGATCATGTAAAACTTAAGATTGGAATGATTGCTGAAAATTCTCAATCAATTGATTTTTTATTTAATTTTATTTTCAGTCACTTGAATAAAATACAATTATTATGTTAAAACTGATTTTTTTAATTACAAAAATTACCTTACTGAAGCACCAAAATTTAAGTAATATTAATGCCATGTCTTTGCATTTTAGAGCCAGAATTGTGGATTTTCACAAGCCCACTGGTCCAAGAGAGACACACCCCAGGCTGTTTGAGTGGGTGAAACAGTATTTCACACATTCTACCAGCAGGGGTGCAAGACTGCCACCTAAAGTAGTGCAGACAACATTACCACCTGTATATTTACAGCATCAAGGTATGCCAAAACTCAGACTTATCTAAACTATGCTTTGATGAAATTAACAGTTGGATGGGCCAGAACTTTCTTCAGTTAAACAAGGAAAAAACTGATGTTATTGCATTTGGGAACAGAGATGAGGTTCTCAAAGTGAATGCGTACCTTGACTCCATGGGTCAAACAACAAAAAATAAAGTTAAAAATATTTGTGTGATTCTGGAGTCAGAAAAAGCAACTAAATCACAGTACCAACATCTCAACATTGCAGGAATTGCATGCTTTGTTTCTAATGAGTTCTTAGAGAAACTTGTTCAAGCTTTTATCACCCTTCGAAGTGACCAGTTTTGTGCACTTAGGTTTAGAGCGACACTTCAATATGGCAGTCGTTTCTGTGTTCACTCTGAAGTACCCTTTAGAAGGCGATATATCCCATTTGAACTGCACCAATAGAAACTTGAACCATGAAACTTTTTCATGCTTTTATCAGCAGCAGGGTGGATTACTGTAATGGCCTCCTCACCGGCTATCCCAAAAAGACAGTCAGACCGTTGCAGCTTGTTCAGAATGCTGCTCCCAGGATTCTGACCAGAATCACAACAATCAGAGAACATCACACCTGTCCTCAGGTCTTTACACTGGCTCTTTGTTACATTCAGAATAGAGTTTAAAGTATTACTACTTGTCTATAAATCACTAAATGACCTATAGGACCTCAATACATTACAGATACGCTGACTGAATACAACCTAACAAATCACTCAGATAATTACAATCAAGTAAATGAGAAATTCAGTCAAAGAAGGGTGAATGCTCTTTCAGCTACTATACCTACTGTGCTGGAATCAGCTCCCAGAAATGGTTAGATGTGCTCCAACATTAGGCACAATCTCGGTCATCCATACCTTGCTAATCTTGTTCATATCGCCACACCTTCTCGAACACTCAGGTCTTCTTCTTCCATTCACCTCACTGTTCCCACTGTCGGCCTCGTCACCATAGGAAGCAGATCCTTCAGCCGCTCTGCTCCACAGCTTTGGAATTCACATCCTCCTGATCTCCGTATTTTAAATTCTCTTTCACAATTTAAATCCAACTTAAACACATCTGTTTAGAACAGCTCATTCTCTTTGACCCGACTGCATTTTTAAAGTTTGTATTGTATTCTATAGTTTTTTATTATGTTTTTATTTGAACTGATTGTTCTAGCTGTCCTGTACGGTGACCTTGAGTGTCATGAAAGGCACCTTTATATATAATGCTTTATTAATATTATTACATTCAAATCAAGACTTAAACACATCTGTGTAGCTGTGCCTTTACTTAACAAGCACTGCGCTTCGTCTGACAGCCACCATCATTTGTGTCTTTTTCTTTTTTCCCCAGTCCCCTTAAACCTGTTTCAACACATTTTAACCAGTTTTAATCATTTGTATTCTTTGTTTTTTATACTTGTTGTATTTTGTTTATGTTAACCACTTTAAATTGTGTATGAAATGTGCTACATGAATAATCTAGCCTTGCCTAAACTACACCACCTCCATCAAAAGCTATTGAGTTTACTGTCTCTAATAAACTCAAAGTAGCATAGACCAGTTTACCCCACACCATCAGACAGCAGAAGACACTTCATTGAATCCAGCCTGATGGTGTCTGTCAAAGCATTTTTTGGCAATTAAACAAGAATTTTAATGTGCTGTAATCTGAAGATTATGGAGGATTGATTGACATTTCTCTTTATGATCAGGCCACAGTCGTTCCATCATCGGAATGGAAGAGAAAGCGAATGGTAAACTATGCCTCCTCTTCTTCGATCCGGGGGTTACACCAGCAGAAATGAAGAAAGTGTTGTCTCAGGATACAGTAACGTCCATGGTACAACGTATGCGCAAATATACCAGTGGCCTAAAACACAAACAGTATCAAGTGGTCATTGTGGAAGGGGTGCTAACAGCTGAGGAGAAACAGGTAATGCAGACAAACAGCACAGCTTTGGGATCTCATTACTGTGCATGCTTTTTTAGGAAACATGACTGCTGAACCATACTGTTGTTTATATATTTTAATAATGTATGCCCCTTTAATGCTTAATTTGGATTTGAGGTCTTTTGTAATAGGTTTACATGGTTAAATTGGCACATTTCTGAGCTATTGATTGGATAATTACTTGGACCAGAAAAAGATACAATATGCTTTCCAATTTATTTAACACAGGGGTGTCAAACTCAAATCCTGGAGGGCTGCAGCCCTGCAGAGTTTAGTTCCAGCCCTGCTTCAACACACCTGTAGGTATCGAACAAGCCTAAAAGCTCTCGATTAGTTTGATCAGGTGTTTAATTAAGGTTGGAAACAAGGCAGAGCTGCGGCCCTCTAGAAACCGAGTTTGACACCTGTGATTTAACGCTTGGTATCAGCAAAAAATAATCTATGGAACTGGTAGTATTCAGAAAAATACCACTTTCTGAATACCTTAGAATTTTGTAGAATTTCTAACAAAATTTTTATCTACAAATCTTTGAGTGTTGTAGTCCTAAACAGCTTACACAATGAATGAAATGTTATATTTTTTAACAAGCGTAACGGACACTTTAGGTCCAATTATGCATTACATATTTAAAAAAATGATATAGGCAATCTATGATTCACTGTTGAACTTCTGAATCTGAATTTGTATTTTTCAGAGTCGTATTTTAAATTCAAGGACACTACGTGCAGAGAAAATCCCCTGATGGAATCCCCTGACTGCAGTTTTATCTACTAGCCCTTGCTACTTTTATCAATCTGCCCCATGATGCACTGTGAAACACAGTATTTTTGTATAAATGTCAATAAACATAAATAAATAATGAGTTTTATCTTATAAGCTGCACAGAAGTTCATTGTCACTCATTATGGTGTGTAAAGATTTTGATCTAATTAATGATCAGCTCATTTCCTACTGTTGTACAGATTTGTCTTGTTGATTAACTTGAACATATCATTCAGCCCTAGCCTTGAGTAGCGTTGAACTCAATGGGCTACATGCACCGGGACTAATAATTATTTAAAAAAAAAACAAAAAATAAGCCTGCTCAGGCGTACAAAATTTTACAGGAACTTAATTTAACTCAATTAAAGAATTATTCTATTTTAAATAGTTTCCTTATAGTGGAAAACTGCAACCCTGGGCTACCAAATCAGTCATTAGGGCCATTTTCTTAGAGATTTATCTGAATAAACAAGATTTTCATTGAACTATGGTTTGTCAGAAAAGGATGGTATTTGGTTTTTGACAGCTATTTTACAATCTGGAACATGAAGGTTTAAAAAAAATCTAAATACAAAGAAATTTGCCTTTTAAGTTGTCCAAATAAATGCTTAGTAATACATATTGCATTTATTTCTTTTTTTTAATTTTGATACATTTATGGTTGGCAATTTAGAAAGTATCTTCATGTGTCGTGATCTTAATATCCTAATGATTGTTGGCATAAAGGAAATCAATCATTTTAAACCATTCAATGTATTTTTGGCTAATGGCAAAAATGTATCTGCGCAACATTGTGGTCCAGGCTCACAAATAATTTTCAGTGATAAACTGTGAAGACACATCTCTGGGAAAGCTCATTCTCATTCTTGTGTAAATGAAGCCGGTCAGCAGAATAAGAGAACAAGTCGTTGGTTTTTAATGGCAATAGTTGTACAAATGACGGTATGTTTGGAGGTTATCATAAAATACGCTGCATTATAGATGGTAGTGACAGAAGAGTTTGTGTTTAGTAGAATTGAGCTCAAGTCCTGGTCCACAAGGCTGCTACAGAGGATGTTGGCGTCTTCATCATTCACGTCGGATTCAGTCTTCATCGCTACCCAAGTCCAGTGGGTCGAAATCTGGGTCATCCTCATCCAAATCCAAATCATCCATTTCTTGAAAAAGTGACTCGTCCACTTCCACACTGTTCCCACCTATAGGGAAAGAGCAAGTTTAAAGGATGATCACAAAAATACAAACATCATCCTCGGTAACTTTCTATTAAAATAATAATAGTGATTAACTTCACTTACCGTCCTCCAAGAACTGGATATCTGATGTGTCAAGATTATGGTCTGTCTCAAAGAGCTGTTTTCCTGTTACAGATAAAGTAGTAAAGGAATGAATTAGCATAGCGTGATGAAAGGTAGTTCGTGTTTAAGTTTTTAATTTTAGGTTAGATGCAGACCTGTGAGTTTTTTCTTTCCTGACTGCTCCTCCTCCTTCTGCCTCTTCTTCTTTAGTTCTATCATCTCTGCTTCAAATTTGGCTTTCCATGATAAAAAGGTCTCAATTGTGACAACTGTGCCTTGGAAAGCTCGCTGGGAAAAACGAAACAAATATCAGCCAAGAGGGGAAAAAAAGCTTTATACTTTATTGAAAATTGAAGCTACACTATTGTTCAACATTTTTTGGTCATGTCTTGATGATATAATCGAAAATTATAAGATTTTTCCCCCATTTAAAGTTTTCAATATTACTAAAAATGTTTAATCATACAAATGTGACTCTGTCTGCACCACAAAACCAATCAAATTTACAACAGTTTATTTATACAAAAATATCAAAATGTTAAAATATCACACTGAAACTATCAACATTAAATAATTATCAATCACATTATTAATTAGATTAGAGTTTTGATCTATTTACAGTCGGAAATTAACAAAATATCATTATGGGACATTATTTTTACATAATATTGGATAAGAAAAATTGGTAGTTTTGAAGCATACAATGTATTTTTTGGCAATAAAGGGCAATTTTGGTGGTGCTGGGTCACAAATAAGTATTCTTTTTACTTGAAATCATTCAAAACAAATAAATTCATAAGTAAAAGCATTAAACAATACAGCACAATATACTACTGTAAAAACTCTATGGTCAATATATCAATAATATTTTCTGTGAGAAATAAATCAATATATTATATAAATTCCTCTCTCTATAAATTAATATATTTATAAAGTCATGTTCAATTATTTATCTATAGTAGCATATTAGAATCCTTTTATTGCATTCTCAATTACACTTTTAAATGACTGATGGCCTTGCTTATGATTGGTAGTGTGTGCTCATTTAAAGCACATCTCATTTAAAGTATTCATTAGGAGCTTACAGTTGAGCTAGTCTGACTTTAGGTTATCATGCCCCCTGCTGGTAGACGCCGACTTGTATAAAAAAACAGCACAAACTACAGCTTTAGCTAAAAATCTTCTTTAACCCTTCATTGGGCAAAGAACTATAATAACACGCTGTAACACTCTGATATATTTCAAGCAGTGCCCTACAAAAGATTAATGTTCAATTCAATTTAAAAACAAAAGAAATCACCTGCAACTTGGATGTCTTAAAATTAAGAATTAATTAATGATTTTTTTAAATATTTTTTTTTGGAACATTTTGATTTTGAATAAAGCCTGAGATTCACCCAACAAAATATGTAAAATAAAAAAACAGTATTATTGTAATTAGAAGTACAAAATCAGGATTGAAACAAATGATACAGTCTCATATTTGACCAAAATTGTAGAGTTTTTTTTACTGGCTACATTTATTTTGGCTGTGGTGTATTCCCGACTAATAATGTCCATTAGATAGAGCCTCCAGGATAGATCGGTTGGGTAAAGTATCCCTTTAAAATGATCTTCTCATTGTCTCCTGAATTTCATGTCATAGATCAGGATAGTTCGTACACTGAAAGGTGAAAAAAGATTATTATTAAAACAGACCTTCTCAGCTTCTTCGGCCTCCTTTTGTTTTCTTTGCTTCTCCTCTTCTCGTCTGCTTTTGATCTGGTCGATTATTTCATTTAGTTTCTCCTGCACAGCGGTCACTAATGTGAATATCATCACCATTCCTAGATTTTCTTCGGCCTTCAAAAAAAAAAAAAAAAAAAAAAAGAGGTTGTTAATAGCCTTTGATTAGTCTCAACCCCATTTCATGCAAACAAAGGCAACTGGAAATGCTTCTGCGCTTTTACATTTTTGTGTGAATTAATAAAAACAGTACTAGTAGTAATACTAGTAGTATTCCTTACATTTATATAGCACTGTACTGGACACTCAACGCGCTCAACACATTAAATAGAGTCAGGCCGACATCTCTCATAATTCCGATAAGTAGCCCAAATTGTCTGTCAGCAAACTGCACAGCCGTTTGTATGCAGCTTCGCTGTATGTGCATTGTGCGTTCATGAGAGAGAGATCGAGAAAAAACGGGAGAGAGAAGGAACGTGCGTGCGATCTGTAAAAACATGCTGAATCAAAACTTTTTAAAAACCTGAATCAATATTGGAGTTACCTTGGCACATTGGAGAAAGGGTGACACCATGGCAGAAGGATTTCTTTTAGAAGGGTAATGTTCTGTTTTAAAACAATTTTAGCTTCACACAAAGCTGATGTACGTTAACGTTAGATGATGTTGTTACAAATGGGTTATCTGCACAGAAGTGTTGTTCAGCCACTAAGATCTTCTGGATTGATGATTGATGTGACTGTTTTCAGTTTCATAATGTCCTTTTACAGCATCGATAAAGTAGATTTTAATTAGTTTTCATCAAAACAAGTAAATAGCGCTATTCCGCCTAGCCTGCTTTACTGAGGTGAAGATGGTTTTATATTCACATCACATTGGTTCATTTTTGAAAAATGATGACCTGTGACCCGCTCCTTATATTGTTTACCATGCTTTTCTGAATATTCGCTCTGAAATAGCATGTCAGTTTAGCTTAGTGATGAGTGTAATTCCTGCTTGCCGTTGCTTTTAACACAGAGAGAGAGTTCTGGGATCTTTCAGGTGTGTGTGCTCAAGCTTCAGGAGGCGTGGCTCAGGCTGGCAGGGGAGGGACTTTGATTCAGAGATTTATGCTTAGCTGTTAGCATTGTGGAAGATCACCTACTGCACCTTTAGAACCTACACAGACCGCAGGTTGAGTACCCCCTGCTGATCTCACTAACACCACTTCCGGCAGCAACCTAGCTTTCCTATGTGGTCTCCCATCCAGGTATTGACCAGGCGCAGCCCTGCTTAGCTTTAGTGGGCGACCATGTGAAAGTTACAGAAAGCTAGCTGCCGGCTGATGGGAGTGTTGTGTTTTTTTTAATGGTCTGCCTGGATTAAAGCTTTAATGATGACAAACTCTCTTATATGAAAACTGTTGTGCTAACACCCATGACTCTGGTGCTTGTTTTGATCAACCATGTGCTGGGTTCTAAAAGGTTATGTTTGGTTTATAACAGAAGCTTTAAAAACAAGCCATCGGACACTATTTTAAAGTGAAAAACCATTGCAAATGTTTCAGTTTGTGGGTAAACTATCCAATCCCGTTTTATATATTCGGGTGAAAGAGATTCATTCACCTAAAACAACTGACTTTTTGATGTGTAAATTAATGTAGATAAAAATGATACTTAGGTTGGTATATGGCAGGGGTGATCAACCCTGTTCCTGGAGATCTACCTTCCTGCAGAGTTCAGCTCCAACCCTGATCAAAAACACCTGAACCAATTAATTAGAACTTGAACATCACTTGATAATTAAAGACAGGTGTGTTTGATCAAGGTTGCAGCTAAACTGTGCAGGAAGGTAGATCTCCATGAACAGTGTTGGGCACATCTGGTATATGGTAATCTCTACTGACTGACAATTCTAGTGTCAGAATATGCCCATTTCTGCAACTATACATAGAGTAAAACAAAGTATGTTTTAAGTAGTATGTCCAAATTCATAGTATTCATAAAACAGTAGGGGTCTGTTCTTCGTACGTGGATTACTCAATTAGCTGGATTTGGATGTTGACGATTTGACACGATCCAGGATCGTTTCGTTCTTCAAAGCTGATCCGAGAGTTGTTGTCATAGCAACAGTTCTGCTAGGTCAAACCTGATCGGGAGCAGGTTCAAATCATATAAACAGGATTAGATCGGCTCAGTTCAAGCAAAGATAATACAGAAAGTATGTTCCGAATTCTGATATTTTCTTACAGTAGTAGTTATATACACTTGGGAAAATGGTACATATTTTTTAAACTATATATATAAAGTTATAGTCATTAATAAAATAAATTAAGTTATACATATTAATTAAACATGCAATCTGCACCCTCGAAATGAAAGTACAACTGCCACCTGGTGGTGCAAAGAGAAAACTTATTGATATGAACTTTTTAGATCGCTTTAGTACAAACTGTGTATAATAAAAATGCACAATATGTGACTTTTTAAAGCAATAATACATTTATGCAGTCATAAACTTGAAAGTTTATATGCTGGTGATTTGATGCTTCACAAAAGTTGCAGACGCCTTTACCAATATGAAAATACTTTTGTAAACAACCAGTTATTCTTTACACCGATTTAAAAACGGCTACTATAATAAAGAAAATATTTTCTAAATGTGGAACTAAATACATTGATTTGCATTGAAATACATGATGAATACACTTGACACATGAAAGTGGAAATTGCAGCTCACAACAAATGTGGAAGGTTATTGCGTGTCATATTTAACAAGCCGTTTACTGCCAATTTGATGTAATTTTGCTCACATGGATAATTGAATATTAATCAGATGATGTCATTACGCTGCTGTGCCGTCAGCCAATCGTTGCATTGCTGATCATGATTTCGAGGATCGATAGATCTGTCCTTCAGCGATCTCAGATCAGTTTATCCAGACATTCTAATCTGATTCGCAAACTCGTTTGAAGAACCAAATTAGCGAGAGATCAGTTATCAAGATTAAAAGATCCAGGATCTGCCAAATCATCTTAGATCATTTAAGCGAGGTACGAAGAACGGACCCTAGGTGAGTGGAGTTAAACAACTGTTCATTTAAATACAATTTTACACATGTTATTGTTTTTCTTCACAGAAATGTACACCTGCATTGTGTCCTCAAAGCAAGGGAACAAGACTTGTTTCATGATATGATATAATCACCCGTTTTAATATACAGGAATAATAGATACATTTCTGTGTTAAGATCTTTTTTAAGAAAAAAGGATGTAGAAAGTTTACTCAAAACAAGTTTTCCATAAATGTTGTTCCTCACATTTGGGAATTACACATTTGATTGACCTGTTTGCCTTGTTATGACATTATCATTTAAGTGTCTGGTTGCAACTTCAACTCAGCAGCAAAATTCTGCATTAAAACTTAGAAATAGAGACTTTTAGCATTTATTGTGATAATTATTGATATGAACTAAAAAATTACTATGAAATTATTGATATGAAAAACATATTATGTGATGACTCTGTTGTCATAATTATCAGCCCTTCATGAAAAGAATGAATGTAGTCTGCAAATGAAATTTGATTCATAACCCTTGTGTTCATTCCTTATCACAATTGTGAAGAAAATGAAAATTGTAGCACCTTCCATACTAAATATTATGTAATTTTGGAGACAGTAAAGCTCTTATCAGTATTTGGACTCATGCCCTAGTAAAACCGTCCAACGAAATCTACTCCATTCATATTTTAACATGTTTTTGCAGTGTATGATGTCCGATGTGCAGACCTGTTGTTTCAAAAGTGTTAGAATTTCTTCTGCATCTGAATCTTCCAGGTTCTCCTGTGAGAAGATCTCCCAGAGGGGGGGTTCGTCTGGATATTTCTCCACATATGTAAACTTAAGGGTCAGCTCCAGCGCTAAAATAGACAGTAATCAGCAACATTAGGAAATTTCAGCTGCAAAATCTAGCTTTAACATTTTTGTTATACTTTCAGTGAGATAATATCAATTAGGAACTTACTCTCTTCATTTTCTCCTGTGTCAGAGGTAACTGTGATGGTGAAGCTTGTGGGTGCATCAGAGAGCACTGGAAATGTCGAAAGAAACAAATGAAAGAAATCTTCCTTATAAAAATAAACCATGGTGTTATTTTAGTAAAATTAACCATATTTTTGATGCATGATTACCATATGACGTCTTACATTGGTATAACTGCTATGGCTAGTCACAAAACAATGCTTAATTTGTGTTTACCACTATTCAAATACAATAACCGGTTTTTCCCCAATATTTAGTTTTTTTTTTACTGAAACTAAACAGGTTTGGTCCACTACAGAAACCGACAATGAAGTCCAGAATCTGAACAGTTGACGTAACCCAGAAGGTAAACATAAATATGATTGATAACATAATTTATCCAGACAGCGCAACGTTTGCTTGACAACTTTCTGGTAGTCATCAATTAATTCTTGGCTTGTTTTATTAAACCTTTGACAGCTCAAATATTGCTATAAAGATTGATATCGAGTCACTCTTATGCTTAACTAACTTTGTTTCATGAGAAGCTAGGCAGCTAACAAACAGCGTGGCTAAGTTGTGGACATAAAACCATATACTGTGCGGTCAGTCTTGCCTGTAAATGAGTCTGGGTAGATGGACTCTATTGCTTCTAGTTCATTCCTTTGCTCCTCGCCGTAGTCTGTCATTTTATGTCACAATTGTCCATAGATTCGAGTCTGCATGGAAGAAACGCGTGCTAAGGCCCGGCCGGCATCGATGTGGTCTGCGATCTTCAGTAATGTCTGAATCTGGAAGCTCGGAATGAGGGTGTAAAAAATAAACCCAAACATTTTTTTTTGACTTTACTAAATGTTTGTAACACAAATTTAATTAGTATAACGTTCGTAAACTATTTAAAAAATTGTAAACATGGGACACAATGGGTAAAAAGTTTTACCGTCTATGGTAAATAGTAAAAGGGTTCGACTCTGGCATGGATTATGTAGCCTGACGGTTCAACTTTCTCCACCTTTTTCTCCACCCCAATACATATTTGTATAAACAAATGTTCATAACTTTGTCTATTATTTTATATTATTAAAATAAAATGTATTTTATTTTATATTATTATAGCATTGCATGTTCCACATTGATCAAATCTTGTACCTTTTCTACATGAAGTGATATTTGTGAATTCAAGCACTATTTAGACAAAAATCAAAGAAAAAAAAACAAATGCTTTACTGATTGTTGAAAAATTAAGATCTTTTTATATCATCAGAGTATTAAGTTTAAACAATTTACCATAGCAATATTAAAATGAAAATGTAAGGTTAACAAATTTAACTTAGCCTAACTTAAATATTATGTAGGTGAGTAAAGCATGTTTTAAGCATAAAATAGTGCAATAGAGATTTGAAATACAATTTAACTGTTATTTGTAATATGAATATTTATAAACTACTATATTTAACAACTGCAAAACCTGTTAAGTAATGTAAAATATATGCAAATTTATGTAATGTAAAATACATTCACAATTCAGTAAAGTCAATGGTAATTCTTTAATAACCCACAACCGATCTTCATCAGATGGGCGAAGCAGTGGCGCAGTAGGTAGTGCTTTCACCTCACAGCAAGAAGGCCGCTGGGTCGCTGGTTCGAACCTCGGCTTAGTTCGCATTTCTGTGAGGAGTTTGCATGTCCCTCCGGGTGCTCCGGTTTCCCCCAGTACAAAGACATGCTGCAGGGGAATTGGGTAAATTGTAGTTTAGGTAAATTGTAGTTTAGCCTGTAGTGTATGAGGGTGACACGTTATCATATGGACAAGTCTAAAATGGCTTGTTCCAAAGAGCCGACCCTGCACCCATACGGGACTAAGGCCAAAGAAGAACAACCGATCTTTATCAGGTTTGTTAGTACAACTTTTATTTTACTTTCCATTTGATATATTTATATATTTTGATTATAACAGAGCAAATCAATAAGAACCTGACTCCATTTTTATGCTTTAGGACAATTTAATAAACCTGAGTAAACATCTTAATATCTTAATATTGTTAATTTTCTGTTACTTAATCTTTGGATAAAGCATTTTCTAACTGACTAAATGTAAACATAACACCAAAAAAACTTTTAGTCGACTGATTTTCAATATAGACTGTAGCTACCAAACAAAACTGCCATCCTGCCAAGATTCACAGTTGTTGTCAGTCTTAAGGCCAATTTTCTGGGAATCCCTCACTGTCCTGCGGAGTACTCTGTGATTTATCAGGGGTCACCACAGTAGAATGATTTGGCAATTTCTCTGGTATGTTTTATGCAGAGAATGTCCTTTCCAGCCGCAACCCAGCAATGAGAGTACATTAACTCATGAACCCCCAGTGATGGAAAACACACTCTCATTCACACAAAAATTGTACTGGAGAAATCTTTTTTCATTGATTTAGTAGCAGTCCATGAAGCCTATACCATCTCTAGGTTTATGCCATGGTCCATAATAGGATGCTCATCAGGGGTGTAGTCTTGATTGCTGCGCTCCACGTATCTCTGCAGTGTGCTGTAGTGCTGTTCACTTTTTCTGAAATTGTAAATAGCGGAGATCTCCTCCCAGGCTTTGTGATTCGGAAAGGGAAATGCTTCTGGGAATTTGTTGTCAAAGAAACTCTTGAGGTTACGATCTGCTAGTTTGGTGGCATAGTCGTTTGCAAAAGCGTCAAACTTTTCCCTTTCTTTCTCCATGTAGATCTTCCAGAAAGTTAGCTGAAGGTAGCTTACTTGAGAGACACAGTTCTTATAGCAAGTCCCGATCAGCGCTATTACTACTGCTGTAATGATGATGGACCAGCCGAGGATCTGTGCATCAATAAGTTGAATATAATAAAAGGTTATTATTTCAAATTATCACACATTCCTCAGAAATACAATATATGAGATAATCATTTAAATGTTTGATACATTAACCCTTTAACCTCTTAAAGTCTAGTGCTATTTGGGGGTTTCTGACTGGGCTTTGCCTACCTAAATGCAAAAGCCACATGCAGAGGTGTAAATGCAAAAGTTTGGTATCATTTTAAAGAAAACACTTTGAATTTTCTTAACACTGTTGAAAGTGATTAAAATAATTGTATACTGCATGTTGTCTGTGTTATAATAAACCCCTCCAAAGAGGTGTTTTTTGTAAACTCAAATTTGAAAGTTTTAGGTTCTGTGTGGTCTAGGACTAGGTTGCTGTAATTAATTTGGGTGGTTCCTGCACATGTAAGTAATCATAGAAAAAAAAAAGAAAAGTGTCTCTACCATAATCTACGCAAAAGTTATTCTATTCCATTTGATAAGAGAACGAAACCACTTATGGGGCTATTGGGCCAGTATGGACCCTGCTCTACCAATATGTTGACCATATTTTGACTGTTTTAATTAATGGTTTACACACAGCATTGTTGGTTTGCAAAAGAATAAATCAAACAAACATAATCCTGTTGCACTATTACACTTGATTATGGTTTTATTGTAAAAAAAAGAAATCAAGAAAGCATGTTAAATGAGAATCTGAAATATTTTTTGGCAAAATTAAAGATATGTATTTAAAAAAAAATTATTTTGATTATTTCTTTAAATAAACTGGTCTTACACTTCATGTTTTAGATTTTCATAGTATACGTATTAATTCCAGTACTTTAAAAATAACCCGACATATCAACTGTTTGGTAGAGGTTGATATTTTAGAAATTATGGGATGTATTAAGTGTATTAACTAGCAACACTAGAAGTTAAGAAATGCAATTAAATATATTTTCTGTTGGTGGGGCAGTTAAAGGGTAAGATGGTGTGAGTTTGTCAATTTTGGGGTCCCCTGACATATTTGTAGCACATTTCTGTATATGTTGTGGGAATGTGCATGCGCATGTTAAAAACACCATAAATACACCTGCTACATAAGTTGTTTTACACAATTTCTCACTGACAGTTGAGTCAACCCATAAACTCAATGCATAAAAGCAATTCCTACTCGTAATTATAATTTTGTGGGGATGTTTGAGTGCATTAAGATTGTAGATACAACCTTTTCAACATGATTTGAATGCACCATGACATAAGCAACAGCGTGATGAAACATGATAAGACGTGAGATAAAAAGTGAGCCAAAAAAGAAAACTTGACTACTATTAAAAATAAAGTGGTAAAAAAAACTGTTGCAATTATTTCATTTCATTTATCTGAAGAAAAAAAACTGTAAGCATTGACCTCCATAATATGAAACTATTGTCAATGGTTATAGCTTTCCAACATTTTTCAAAATATCTTTTTTTGTGTTCAACAGAATAAAGAAACTCATGAAGGTTGGATAATAGTGAAGGGTGAATAATATACATTACGATTATATCATGACCACTACACCACCTGACTGCTGCAGATTAATTTTGGTCAAGATAGTATGGTTGCTATAATGTGTCTGAAGATGGTAACTTCATCATGGTGTGAAGGTGTTTTAGTTTGTGCTCACCTGTGACTGAGCTCGCAGCATATACAGCAGTTCCGTATTTTGCTCAGGAGGAAGTGTGGATTTGCCGCAGGGCACTCGGTGTAACTCATCCTGGCATTTAGATACATTACCTGCGCAGAAAATTTTGATCACCGCAATTTCATCCAATCCACTGACAGCACACTCATAGAAGGTTCCATTTAACAGGGCTACAGTAAGCCACATGACAGGGGCAACGCAGGCTCCATACAACACCTTTATAAACACTGACAAGCATCCCACAAAGTTTCCTCGGGGGCAGAGTTTGAGGGGGTTCAGACAACACCCAGTATATAACCGCCAGAAACGTGTGCTAACAAAGAAACCGATCACCAGTAAGACGACAGCAGGTCCGAGCAGAAAACAAATCCCATAGGGAAAATTCTGTCCTTTGGTGCAGGGACACTGAAAAGACACCATGGAGAAAATTCGTTCACTGCCTATTGTCAAAATAGCCATGACGCTGTAGCCAATAGTGGTCTTCTGATCGGTGAAGAACTTTAAGACAGTCTTAAAAGAATCCATTCTTGGTACAGCCATTGTTGTGCTGAAACAGTGTTGCCAACTATTTCCAAAGAAAACTAGCTAAAGCCTGCCCGAAAAGTAGCTATTTGTTGCCAGATGATGTCACGCAAAAATTTGCATATTAGTGGCGTCATCACGTAGTTTCTGACAAGCATAAGCCCATCATGTTCCTACTCTCTGAGTCGCCGTGTTTTATATTATATTAAAACATCACATCCAGGTGCACAATAAAAAGGTTCTTATTAACATAGTACTTTGCGTGATGACGTCATTGCGTAATCACAACTCAAAACTACATCTTTATGTAGAATAAAAAAATTAAAAAATGGAAAAAATACATCTTTATGTAGTAACGTTATACAAAATAATAAATGTTTTCTCAAATTGACTGGCCATCTCAGAAAAAAACATTATTTGAAATATGTCCATTTAGATTTGTATGAAAAATATACTTGACTATTTGTAAAATACAAACACTTTTATTTTTAAATATAACAGATAACAAACAGTTGCATTCTTTAAAACAATCAGCTTGTATACTTACACTTTTTAACATTTGTAAAAGTGACAACAATTATAACACTATTGGAATTTATTGCTACCTAAATATCCAACAGTTATACATGTTAACAAATATCAGTAAATGAACAGTTATGAAAAACAATCTGAGCTAGCAATTTATTCTACTGAGTGAAGCCGGCAGCCTCTGCTCTTTTGAGTCACTTTTTAAAAACTGCTTAAAGTAGCCAAATTAATGTTTAAAATTGCTAACTTTGTTGCTAGGTGCTTTTTTTGGAACAAAATTGTTACTAGGGGGTGCTATGGAAAGTTGCTAAGTTGGCAACACTGCCGAAATCTGCTATATGGGGCGTCTGCAGTCTTGAAAAATTAAAACACACATAGTTGGATAGTGTAAAAATTAATTGTAGCCTAGTTATATGTTTTCATAAAGAGATATGCTTTATGTTGTATTGATTATTTAAAGTTGCATTTTAAAAATAACAAAATTATAACCGAAAAAATGCAGTGTAATATGGAGTAATCATGTGCTTTGATGAGAATGCAGGGGTATTGAAGACCAGACAGCTGCAGAACTTTTAGACAAACTATTCACTCCTTTATAAAGTTCTGAGGACCAGTTAGCTATACCTGACAAACAAAAACCCAGACAACATTTAATTATTTTAACATTTATTTATTGCACCAATATCACCAGGCTTCTTTAAATGATGCTAAATCCTTGCTTCAAATTCTTCCCACTCATTGAAAAATAAAATTAAGTTATTTATAAATACTCTGCAAAAAATGCTTTTCTCACATATAGCTTTTGTCTTGTTCCTGTTACAGATATCTAATCTGTAAACAGTCAAAAGAAAAAAAATGATAAGCAAAAATAATTTAATGTAATTTTATGTTATCTGGACCTAAGTAAAGCATTTTAAAATATATATTTTTAAATATCTGATTTATGATTTCTTTTATGAACTTTCAAGCTAATATATAAAAATATATAATGTATAGTTATAAATAAAGTAGGTAGAACACTTTTAATTGTGAGTTTCTCTGCATTTATAGATAGTTTGAGTAAAAAAAAATTTGTTTAAACTACGAATGGCATTTCAACAAAATATAAAATAAAAACTCATTTAGAACTGGATTGCAATTTATTAAATGGAATTGAATGCAATGCCATTTTAATTCAATTTCAAAACAAAATTTCATTTTTTAAGTCTTTTTAGATTTGTTTAGATTTATTTCAATATAAAGTAAATAGTCAATTTTGGAAGAATAATGAAGTGTAGTAGTGTAGACTTGGCTGATATCCCAGACCACACTGCTGTATTGTAGATAATCTGTAAGAAAAAATATATTTTTAAATAAATAATTAAATATATTATAATTACTCCATTGCTGCGATTGGTAACAATTTTCAATTTGGGGGGAACTATCTGTTTTTACCCATCGGATTCAGTGACCTAGAGGTCAGATCAACTGTATCTAAACATAAGTAAGTCTGGTCAAAAATGCTTTATAAAAGAGAAAGATGATGGACGGACACACAACCTTTATCCCTTTTTTAAATATTATAATCAGTCAACACATGAGGTAGCCTAACATGTTTCAATGGCTATGAATTTTATGAGTCATTTTCAGTGAACATCAAGCTACATATAAATAAAGCATCTCTATAAATTATAGAATGTCTTTAAAAAGTTGATTAATTTTACTATTTCAGTATAATTCATATATTAAATAAACACTTGAAACATATAAATCATGTATAATAAATCTATTTAATATACGCGTTTCACATTTTGAAAACAAAAAACAGTTAATGCTTTTAATTTGTAGTTTTTTTTTTAATTATATGTACTGTATATGACATGGACCTGCTGGTTAGAACATTTCTGCAGTGGTTTACATGTCAAATTGTAAAAGCAGACTTTTCAAAAAAATAAAATAAACAATATCCTACTTAATAATAATAATAATCGCCATCATCATTAACATTATTAATATTATTCTTAAAATATGATTTTTAAATTTCCTAATAAATAATAAATAAAAATTTAATTTCTTCATAGGTTTATGGAAGAACTTTAATGGAGTCGTGATACTTTGTTGTTGTTGTTGTCTCTTGGTAGACTGGTAAAACTAAACATTTAGTTATGAAATTGAGTTGAAAATATCGTATAATATGTTCATTACAAATGCTAATTACTGAGTTCAAATTACATGTGATACAGGTAAGATTCATAGTCAAAGAAGTGTTATCCCTGTGTAAACCTAATTATAATGTTTAATAAATCGACTCATTTTGTGCCAGACCTATTCTTGTTTTATAAAACACTGATGACCAGATATCTTTATACAGGAGGATGTCAGTAAATTAGAATGTCATCAAAAAGGTGTTTACTTTTACTAATTCAATTCAAAATTTGAAACACGTATATTAAATATATTTATTACACGCAGATTTATATGTTTCAAGTGTTTATGTAATATATGAATTATATCGAAATAGTAAAATTAATCAACTTTTCAAAGACATTTTAATTTATAGAGATGCTTTATTTATATGTAGCTTGATGTTCACTGAAAATGACTCATAAAATTCATAGCCATTGAAATTTGGTAGGCAACCCCATGTGTTGACAGAGTGTAATATTTAATAAAGGGATAAAGGTTACGTGTCAGTCCATCATCTTTCTCTTTTATAAAGCAATATTGACCAGACTCACTTATTTTTAGATACAGTTGATCTGACCTCTAGGTCACTGAATCCGATGGGTAAAAACAGATAGTTCACCCCAAAATGAAAATTCTGTCATTTTTCTAAACCAATGAGTTTCTTCTGTTGAACACAAAAAATAAATATATATTGAATTATGTTGTAAACCTTGACATCCATAGTAAAATCCCCACACATTAACTGTATTTATTTATTTATTTAGTTTTTTAAAAGATGATCTATGGCTGACTATAATTTTCAACCACTCTTATAAAAAAGTTACACAATGTTTTTAGTTTTTCATTCATTTTATATTGTTTGTTTTCAACTTTTATAAAGACATAACTTTAACCTTATAACACATTTCTAAATTGTGAAATTATTATGTCTAGAAAAACTTATAAAACCATAAAACCACCTTAAAAATAGCAGTGTCATTTATTTGGTGCAAGATTTCTGTAATGTCTAATCGCTAATTTTGAACCTGTTGTTTCTCAAAGACATCAAAACTGCATCCTACAAGAAAAAGAGAAGTGACTCCACTAAGACAAAGAGAAATAGGAATTATATTTTATCTGTCAGGGTCAATAACCTTTATAAAGATTTCAAAATCAGATCATATGTAGGAGCGTCATGAGTCATTTTAATAAACATTATTATCATTCATATGAATATAAGAAGGCACCATGCTTAATTTCATATTCAGTGACTACAGCATTTGTAAATAAATATCTGTTCAATATGCTTTAGATGCATAAGATATGACATAAGAGGTATTTTATTAATCATAATCACACAAATAAAAGAGGGATGGCATTTCAATAGCTATTAATTTCAGATTCCAGACACTGTTTATAAAATATATATTCTCCTATATCTGGTCAAAATGTTATGAGTATCAGTTCAGCTGCTGAACTGTCACTTTATCACAATTATCATGTTTAGAAGTTCTTTTTGCACTATACTGTTTTTAACTGCACAACTCTGGTTTACTTTGCACTCATTGCTTTATGCCCTTAATGTCACTGTATTGTTTACAATTTCTATTATGTATATTTTTAGACCACATTTATGTGCAATGTATATACTGTAAATTTTCTTTTTTTTTTTCTTAAACTCTACTATTTTTTATATATATATTTTATATTAATGTTAAGCACCTTGGGTCTGAGAGTAACGCAATTTTGATTCTCTGTATGTCTTGTACATGTGGCTGAATTGACAATAAAGCTGACTTTGACTTTGACTTTGACTTTTATGCAAATAGCAAGAAGATTGACTTTGTTAACTTTAAACAGGAAATTTTACTGTGGTGCCCCCACAGAGGAACAAAAACACACAAACATATGTATTTAAACATGCATTTATTTATATACACAAATTTGCATATAAACACTCAAAATTATACTTAAACATTCAAATATTCACATTATAAAATAATAGTTTACATCAAAATAAACACGTTAATGTCTTCTGCAGAAGCATTCCCAGTTTCAAACATTTACATAAATAGAGGGAATAAACCCTCTCTGTACCTGTAGAGATGGACGGTCCTGTGTCTGTACCTGTAGAGATGGACGGTCCTGTGTCTGTACCTGTAGAGATGGACGGTCCCAGTGCTGTCTGTATCAGTTCAGCTGCTGACCTCTGGAGCAGTGCTGGATCAGCAATGTACGTAAATCAAAAACTGGCCTAAAACACACCAATGTAAAGACTAAAGAGACTTTATTGTCATTGCAGTGAAACAAGCAACAGCAACAATTAGAAATGTATAGAAAAAGACACACAATAAACAACTGCAAAGAATTACATAATATATAATTTAAACATTATAATTTGGCATAGAATATTTAGACGGCTATGAATGTTGCTTCAGATTTCGTGAAATGACATTCAGATTTTTTTCATGACATCGTCATGAATCAGAGCATTAACTATTTTATAACGAAACCTCTACCAGGACAGGAGACACCAACGGAGACAGAATACATTTTTTTTATTTCTTCTTTAAAAGAATTTGGATGGTCAAAATATCGGGACTACATTAAAGTTCTTCCATGAACCTGTTTTCAGAATCTCAGGATTTAAAACATCCTTTTAGTACAGCACCGCTCGACGCTCGCTTGATTTCTATGTCTGCGCGTTCACGGTCGCGTGCATATGCGACAAGCACGTTCCCGAGTGAAAATTTTGTTGAACAGCGCCCCCTGGTCACAGTTTTCGATGGGTGTGTATTTGACATATTTCGGCACAAAACAGCAGCATCAATGTGGTCTGCGATCGTCTGTATTGTCTTAATCTGGAAGCTCAGGATGAGGGAGTAAAAATACACCCAAAAACTTATTGGCTTTTCTAAATGTTTATAACACGAATGTAATTCGTATAACGTTAGTCAACTATTTAAAGAATTGTATACAAAATAAAAAATAGGTAAAAAGTTGTATAGTCCATGGTAAAAAGTGTGAAAGGGTTTGACTCTGGCATAGATTATATAGCCTGACGGTTTCTCCCTTTCTCCACCCAAATACATATTTGTATAACAAATGTTCACAACTTCGTCTTTTATTTTATATTATTGAGTATTTAATCATAGTTTAATTTAGCATTATAGCTTTGCTTGTTGCACATTGACCAGATTTTGTAGCTTTCTCAACATGAAGTAGGATTTGTGAATTCAAGCTGGTTGAAGACAAAAATCAAAGACAAAAACAAATGCTTTACTGATTGTTGAAAAATTAAGATCTATTCATATCATTAGGATATTAGGTTTAAACAATTTACCATAGCAATAATAATATGAAACTTAGCCTAACTTAAATATCATGTAGGTGAGTAAAGCATGTTTTAAAGGCCCATGAAACCCCCTCGTTTCAGCAGGGTGTTTTCACACCTCTTCTTTGGAAAAAGTCAGAAAAGTGGGGGTGTCCAGCTCTGTTTAGGGGGGAGTGTCGGAGAAACTAAAGTGGGAGGGTGTGGGAGTGTCTATTTGGGCACGCGCAAGTTTCAGTCAAAATACACAGGAGAAAGGGATGGTGTTTAACCTACATGGACATCTGTAGTCGAATTATTTGCCAAATTATTAAATGTCGGACTTTAACTGCAGTTTGGCTCTTTCATTCAGGGAATTCATTCATGCCCCTCGCGACAAATGAGATATTTGATTCGAGGAACTGCTCTAAGCGTGTATTTTTCATGCAATGTTTGATACCGCACGGCGAATGACAGAAAAAAAACTCTGCATTTCCCGGAAACTTAGATGCACACGGCAGGTAGCATCCGAAAGCCGCGTGTGTTATTCCGGTCACAAAATGCGGTGCTAACATGTTTGCACTCAATGCAATAGTTAACTTATTTGATACGAACAAACTGAATATACAAAGAGCACTGGTCGCTCACTTACCAAATCTGTAGAGACAGGACAATCACCAGCAACTAGAGCCGCGTCTTTATGAAGAGAAGACTACATCCGGAATCCGGATTTCAGCGTTTGCAGATGAGAACAGCTCTCAGGTAAACAATAATCCCCCTTAGACACGTAAATTATTGTTGTCGAGCGTCGCGTACACTGTAATCCACACGTGATCCAGATAAGCTCTCACAGAGAGAAAATGAAAACGAAACTTAATGGCAGCAAACTGTAAAAGCAACACAACGTGGCGTCTCTGTGGTGTAAAGACGGTGACACTAATGAATATTAATGAAGTTGCACAATAGAGCGCGCTGATTGGTTTGAACCAAGCCTTACTCATGCATTAATGCAACACACTGTAAGACGTAATAAGGCACACTCTGGCAAAGACGCCCAGTCTGCACGCTGGAATACAACGCTATTATGTCATGACCGTGACGCAGCTTCAAAAATTCGTTTCAAACAGGAAGTACGAATTTGCTTGAAATAACGCAAAAACAACCAATTTACACTTTTTAGTGAAATATAGGTGTCCTTATAGTGTTTTTAGCAGTGTGGGACACATATACGACTGTCAACAGCTCAAAAAATGTGTTTTGGTGTTTCGTGACCCTTTAAGCATAAAATAGTGCAATACACTTTTTAAATACAATTTAACTGTTATTTTTAATATGCTATTTTTTTATAAACTACTGGATTTAACAACTACAAAACCTTTTAAGTTATGTAAAATATATGGTCATGAATAGTTATCATTCATAATTCAGTAAAGTTAATGATAATTCATTAATAACCCACAACCAATCTTATTATGTTTTAGAACACTTTAAACAAACCGAGAATGAACATCTTAATATTGTTAATTTTCTGTTGCTTTGCTGAATCTTAACCTGAGAAAAATGTAGGCTACTTCTGTTTCACAGCAGTGCAGGAAACAGACACCACAAACTTACCGGAAACCACCTTACTATCTATAACACTTTAGATATTATATAATAACTCATGTTTTTTATGCTTTTTAAAAAGAGACCATTGTTTTGATTTTGAAGGGAGACATTTGTTTTAACTGCTGGGTCAATATTCAATTGCAAATGAAGTGTCAAAGTCTGAATGTGGGTTTCCTGTTTTTCAAAACAAAAACCAGCAGAGGAAAGAATTGTGGTTGACATGTTCTGTGCTCAAGAATGCAAGTACAATGTGACAGTATTTTATATTTTAATCAATTTTGTACAACGTAAGAGTTACATATAATTATTAAATATGCAAAGGTCTTTGAAGTTAACATTAAACATACTTAAAATATGGATATTGCAACAAAGATTTTTATAAGAGCTCTTGATTCACCCAGAAAGCTAAATGACTCAAAAATTAAATAAATAAAAAATGTCCTGAGATTTTTAATTTGCAAAATCTGAAAAGCAACATTCACACAATATGGAAATTGGACCCTGAAACTGAAAGCATCACACTTAAACCTGCCAACAGACTTGTGTTGGCTTAATACGAGTGTAAAAAGTACAACATATATGCATTTTAAATAATGCCATGGACTCTGACACACGAAACGTAGCTTGTTTCTTTCTAATAAAATCAGAAACTTTGTATTAGTAGCACAAATCTTTGGATAAAGCATTTTCTAACTGACTAAATGTAAACATAACACCAAAAAAACTTTTAGTCGACTGATTTTCAATATAGACTGTAGCTAACAAACAAAACTGTCATTCTGCCAATATTCACAGTTGTTGTCAGTCTTAAGGCCAATATTCTGGGAATCCCTCACTGTCCTGCGGCGTAGTCCGTGATTTATCAGGGGTCACCACAGTAGAATGATCTGCCAATTTCTCTGGTATGTTTTATGCAGAGAATGTCCTTTCCAGCCGCAACCCAGCAATGAGAGTACATTAACTCATGAACCCCCAGTGATGGAAAACACACACTCTCATTCACACACACATTGTACTGGAGAAATCTTTTTTCATAGATTTAGCAGCAGTCCATGAAGCCTATACCATCTCTATGCCATGGTCCATCTCAACCATTGGATGCTCATCAGGGGAGTAGTCCCGATCGCTGCGCTCCACGTATCTCTGCAGTGTGCTGTAGTGCTGTTCACTTTTCCTGAAATTGTAAATAGCGGAGATCTCCTCCCAGGCTTTGTGATTCGGAAAGGGAAATTCTTCTGGCAATTTGTTGTCAAAGAAACTCTTGAGGTTACGATCTGCTAGTTTGGTGGCATAGTCGTTTGCAAAAGCGTCAAACTTTTCCCTTTCTTTCTCCATGTAGATCTTCCAGAAAGTTAGCTGAAGGTAGCTTACTTGAGAGACACAGTTCTTATAGCAAGTCCCGATCAGCGCTATTACTACTGCTGTAATGATGACGGACCAGCCGAGGATCTGTGCATAAATAAGTTGAATATAATAAAAGGTTATTATTTCAAATGATCACACATTCCTCAGAAATACAATATATGAGAATCATTTAAATGTTTGATACATTAACCCTTTAATTTCTTAAAGTCTAGTGCTATTTGGGTGTTTCTGCCTGGATTTTGCCTACCTAAATGCAAAAGCCACATGCAGAGGTGTAAATGCAAAAGTTTGGTATCATTGTAAAGAAAACACTTTGAATTTTCTTAACACTGTTGAAAGTGATTAAATTAATTGTATACTGCATGTTGTCTGTGTTATAATAAACCTAATAAACCCCTCCAAAAAGAGGCGTTTTTTTTTTTTTGTGAACTCAAATTAGAAAGTTTTAGGTTCTGTGTGGTCTAGGTTGCTGTAATTAATTTGGGTGGTTCCTGCACATGTCAGCAATCATAGGAAAAAATGTCTTTATCGTCTATGCGAAATTTTTTTCTATTCCAACTGATGAGAGAATGCAACCACTTATGGGGCTATTGGGCCAGTATGGACCCTGCTCTACCAATATGCTGACCATATTTTGACTGTTTTAAATAATGGTTTACACACAGCATTGTTGGTTTACGAAAAAAATAAATCAAACAAACACAATTTTGTTGCACTACTACACTTGACTATTTTCTAATTGTAAAAAACAAACAAACAAGAACACATGTTAAATGACAATCAGAAATATTTTATGGCATCCTTCAAAAATGAAAGAAGATATAGTATTTAAAAATGTTTTATTTTGATTATTTCTTTAAATTTATTAGTCTTACACCTCATATTTACTGATTTTTCATAGTATATGTATTAATTCCGGTACATTTACCATAAAGGCTCTGTTCTTGGGCCACTTCTCTTCTCCATCTACACATCATCTCTAGGACCAGTCATCCAGAGACATGGATTCTCCTACCACTGCTATGCTGATGACACCCAGCTATACCTCTCTTTTCATCCTGATGATCCCTCGGTTCCAGCTCGTATCTCAGCCTGCCTGTTGGATATTTCACACTGGATGAAAGATCATCATCTTCAGCTGAACCTCGCAAAAACGGAAATGCTTGTAGTTTCTGCCAACCCGACTCTACACCATAACTTTTCAATCCAGATGGATGGGGCAACCATTACTGCATCCAAAATGGTGAAAAGCCTTGGAGTAACGATTGATGACCAACTAAACTTCTCTGACCACATTTCTAGAACTGCTCGATCGTGCAGATTTGCACTCTATAACATCAGAAAGATCCGACCCTTCTTATCTGAACATGCAGCTCAACTCCTTGTTCAAGCTCTTGTTCTCTCCAAACTGGATTACTGCAACTCTCTACTAGCTGGGCTTCCAGCTAACTCTATCAAGCCTCTTCAGCTGCTCCAGAATGCAGCAGCACGAGTTGTCTTCAATGAACCTAAACGAGCACATGTCACTCCGCTGCTAGTCCGTTTGCACTGGCTGCCAGTTGCTGCTCGCATCAAATTCAAAACTCTGATGTTTGCCTACAAAGTGACTTCTGGCCTAGCACCTTCTTATCTGCACTCACTTCTGCAGATCTATGTGCCCTCCAGAAACTTGCGTTCTGTGAATGAACGTCGCCTCGTGGTTCCATCCCAAAGAGGGAAAAAATCACTTTCGCGAACGCTCACGCTCAATCTGCCCAGTTGGTGGAATGAACTCCCTAACTGCATCAGAACAGCAGAGTCACTCGCTATTTTCAAGAAACGACTAAAAACTCAACTATTTAGTCTCCACTTCACTTCCTAAGCTGCAATTGCCTCTTTGAATATCACACTAATTGTACAAAAAAAAAAAAAAAAAAAAAAAAAAAAAAAAAAAAACTACTAACACTTCCCTTCTTAGACTTTACAGACCTGAAACTTGCCTTTAGTACTTATTCATTGTTGCTCTTAGTTGTGTAAATTGCTTCCTTGTCCTCATTTGTAAGTCGCTTTGGATAAAAGCGTCTGCTAAATGACTAAATGTAAAATGTAAATGTAAACCAACATATCAACTGTTTGGTAGAAGTTGATATTTTAGAAACTATGGGATATGTTGGAAAAAGCATTGAGTGTATTAACTAGCAACACTAGAAGTTAAGAAATGCAATAAAATGTATTTTTTTCTTTTTGGGGCTGTTAAAGGGTAAGATAAGATGGTGTGAGTTTGTCAATTTTGGGGTCCCCTGACATATTTGTAGCACATTTCTGTATATGTTGTGGGAATGTGCATGTGCATGTAAAAATACCATAAATACACCTGCTACATAAGTTGTTTTACACAATTTCTCACTGACAGTTGAGTCAACCCATAAACTCAATGCATAAAAGCAATTCCTACTCGTAATTATAATTTTGTGGGGATGTTTGAGTGCATTAAGATTGTAGATACAACCTTTTCAACATGATTTGAATGCACCATGACATGAAATCATGATGATGGCACATGATGATAAGATGTGAAAAGAAAAGAATATTTGACCACTATTTACTCACCCAAACCATTGTTTCATTCATTTAATTTCATTTATCTGAAGAAAGAAAACCTGTAAGCATTGACTTCCATAACAGGAAACTATTATGGACACAAAATAGGATGCTATTGAAGTCAATGATTACAGGTTGCCAACATTTTTCAAAATATCTTCTTTTGTGTTCAACAGAATAAAGAAACTCACAAAGGTTGGATAAAAATGAAGGGTAAATAAACTAAACAGGATTTCAGTTTTGGGTCAACAATTCCTATAAGAAACTGCTATAACTGATCAATCAAAATGAAGAAGAAAACACTATAGGAGTGTTTACATCATGTATTATAATTACAAAAGGTGTAAATAAATACATTACGACTATATCATGACCACTACACCACCTGACTGCTGCAGATTAATTTTGGTCAAGATTGTTGTTATTATGGTAACTTCATCATGGTGTGAAGGTGTTTTAGTTTGTGCTCACCTGTGACTGAGCTCGCAGCATATACAGCAGTTCCGTATTTTGCTCAGGAGGAAGTGTGGATTTGCCGCAGGGCACTCGGTGTAGCTCATCCTGGCATACAGATCCCTTATCTGCGCAAAAAATTTGGATCACCGCAACTTCATCCAATCCACTGACAGCACACTCATAGAAGGTTCCATTTAACAGGGCTACAGTAAGCCACATGACAGGGGCAACGCAGGCTCCATACAACACCTTTATTAAACCTTTTAAGCATCCCACAAAGTTTCCTCGGGGGCAGAGTTTGAGGGGGTTCAGACAACACCCAGTATATAACCGCCAGAAACGTGTGCTAACAAAGAAACCGACTACCAGTAAGACGACAGCAGGTCCGAGCAGAAAACAAATCCCATAGGGAAAATTCTGTCCTTTGGTGCAGGGACACTGAAAAGACACCATGGAGAAAATTCGTTCACTGCCTATTGTCAAAATAGCCATGACGCTGTAGCCAATAGTGGTCTTCTGATCGGTGAAGAACTTTAAGACAGTCTTAAAAGAATCCATTCTTGGTACAGCCATATTTGCAAAACACACCAGACGAGCTGCTAAACCGAAAGAGATGATCTGTACTTGTACATGTCACTCCTATTTCTGGCTAGGTTTTCAAATTGTATTCCACACCCTCCATTATCCCCTCCTATTTTGCCTCTGACATTTCACCACAGCTTTCACGAAGAGCACCAGTGCTTTCTTCAGGCACGTGCAAACACGTCAACGGCAACCGGAGTTCAAGCATCTCCATTTTCCTTTTCTTTTTTCTTGAATATGTGTGTGTGTATGTGTGTGTGTGTGAGTGTGTGTGTGTGTGTGTGTGTGTGTGTGTGTGTGTTTCTAACTGCGCACTGCTTTCCTTGTTAAATAAACAAACGAACAAACAAAACTAAAAACTAAATATCATGTCCGGAAATTTTGTTGAATTCCAAATAGATGTATTTTATCCCCCGCGTTTCCGCGCAGGCGCGCTGCAGCAGTCAACTCTAATTCCTGTCTGCTCAGAGCAGATCCCGAACCGGCGACTGGTATGCCGGGTGTTTTGTCACTAGAGTGAAGTCAGACTGAAATGAGATTTACCTGAACATCTCTTAATGACTATCCTCGTTTAAAGAGTGGTATTGGTAGCGAGAAGTTATCTTTTTTTCAGTTTCAGTGGCTAAGGTTTGTTGCAGTTAATTATTCAGACCAAGGGAATTATGGTTAATTTGTCTTGCTAACATCCATGACTCATGAGCAACCATTTAAGTTAGCATAAAGTTTACTTAAGGCAATATACTATGGGCATAGAGGCTAACTTTAAGGTAGTTCACCCAAAAATGTAAATTATGTCCTCATTTACTAACCGTTGACTTGATGCAAATAAGTTTGATGCAAATCAGTTTGAGTGTTTTTTGTGTTCTGATGAACATAAAATAAGGTGTATTAGAATATATCTCAGATTTAAATATAATATATTATTCATTAATTCATTTTTTTTTCGGCTTAGTCCCTCTATTAATCAGTGATTGCCACAGCGAAATGAACCCCCATCTTATCCAGCATATGTTTTATGCAGCAGATAGATGCCCTTCCAGCTGCGACCCAGTACTTGGGGAACACCCATACACTCTCATTCACATACATACACTACATACAATTTAGCTTACCTAATTCAGATGTCTTTTGACTGTGGGGTGAACCAGAGCACTTGGAGGAAACTCATGCAAACATGGGGAGAACATCCAAACTCCACACAGAAATGCCAACTGACCCAGCAGAGGCTTGAACCAGTGACCTTCTTGCTGTGAGGCACCAGCGCTACCCACTGCGCCACTTCCATAATATATGTATAGAATAATAGAACAGAAACCTGTAACCACTGACTTGCATGTATTATTTTGTTACAGTGGACAGTGGTCACAGATCTCCAACATTCTTCAATAAATCTGTTCTACAGAACAGAAAAAAACTCAAATTGATTTGGAACAAGTCAAGGGTAAACAATGGTGGGATTTCCGTTTTCATGTATTGGTAAAGGAGAAAAGCAGCTTGTAAAAATAGTGATATCTCCCTCAAAAAAGGTGTAGCCCTTTATATTTTAAAGTTAAACCACACTGAACTGGACTAAACTGAACTTGACTCAGAAAACTGGAATGACAAAGTTTCAATTCACTATAATCTTCTGTGAGAGGCTGCTTTGACACAATCTAAAAGCACTATAGAAACAAAGATAAATTGAATTGAAATAGAAGCATAAAAGCACAGAGATTGTGGTTTAGTTATTTGTTGTAGCCTGTTCTTGTGACACAATTAGTAAACTATAAAGAAGATCATGGTCGTTTGTGAATTTGTGCAAACTGAGTATTCAAAATGTCTGTGCACATCTCTGGTTTTCTTCCCCCTACTCAGAAAAGGACCGTGACCAAAACCAGTTCATCAGGTTTGTTGAAAGTCAAAACAGAGATGTGTACAGGCACATTCATTCAGCTATCATGCAAAATCAATCATACTGTTGAAATCTCAACAACAATATGCTGCTTCATGGTTTAAATAGGTAAAATTCTAAGCTGTGGCGAGGACACTGTGCATTGTATTACTGGAATGTTGTAATACGGAGGATCCTGACAACAGAATGTGAAAATCTTGAAGCAGGAATTTCTCTTTAAGACAGAAAATAAGTTTGTTGAGTTAAACAAAGTGGTTATGTTGTAACATGATGCTTTGCATTAGTTAAAATAAAAAGGAAGTGATTTGTTCTGCTTATGTATGAGTCAGCAGTTTCTGTTCTGCTCTACTTGTGCCCAAACATTTTACCCAGCACTTCTTCCGTAAAGACACAGCTTGAATGCTAACCACAAATGGCTGAGCTTAATGAACATTGATTTTTTTTTGGAGTGAGCTTTTAGCAGTGAGATTGTCAACTTGCACATGATTATTGCATGAAAAAGCCCCACGAAAGTGCTAACAGTTGAAATTTGAGATGTGAGAATATGAGATTAGGCAGCATCTTGAAAATATGATTTATATCTGTGTGCTTCATTCGGTAATTTGCCGATTACCTTTTATTTCAAATAAAAATGAAAATATTGATTACAATGCAGAAATAAAATAAATAAATAAATGCAAAATTAAAGAAATAAATTAATCTTGAAATGTGCCATGTCACTAAAATTGGCCGTAGTGTACGAGTGTGTGAATGTGAATGAATAGGTGTTTGCCAGTACTGGGCTGGCAAGGGCATCCACTGAGAAAAACATATGCCATGAATAGTTGGCTGTTCATTCCACTGTGGCAACCCCTAATAAATAAGGGACAAAACTGAAGGAAAATGACTGAGCCTAATGAACATTGATTTTTTTTTTTGGAGTGAGATTGTCAACTTGCACATGATTATTGCATGAAAAAGCCCCACAAAAGTGCTGACAGTTGAAATTTGAGATGTGAGAATATGAGATTAGGCAGCCACTTGAAAATACGATTTATAGTTGTGTGCTTCATTCTGTCATTTGCAGATTACCTTATATTTCAAATAGAAATGCTAATATTTATTATAATGCAGAAAAAAAGAAAATAATTAATAAGTAAATGAATGTAAAATTAAAGAAATACATTAATCTTGTGTCACTAAAATTGGCAGTAGTGCGAGTGTGATTAGGTGTTTTCCATTACTGGGCTTTGTCTGGAAGGACCTCCGCTGAGTAAAATATATGCCAGAATAGTTGGCAGTTCATTCCACTGTGGCAACCTCTGATAAATAAGGCACTAACTGAAAGGAAAATGAATGAATGGATGAAAGGTGCCATGTTTACGTTCATTTTTACACAATACAAAAACAATGTTTTAACCCAAGAAGTATTTAGAAATCAATCTTTGGAGGAATAACCAAAATCTTTAATCACAACAAATGAAACCATTTGTTAAAAGAAAGCTTTAAATGGCTATATTTTGATTTTAAATAATTCAATAAAAAGGCGAATTAACATTTTACTCGAAATCACACTTAACAAGACCTGAGAAACTGAGATTTTCCAAGACCCTTTATGTTTTTCATACCTTTAAAAAATTGTTCACCAGCATGGACCACGCCACACTTTGAGCAAGACTTTATTGTAGGGATGAAAGGGATGATAAGAGAAGAGTGGGATGAAGGGGAAAGAAAGTAAGAGGATAAACAGCTAGCTCCCTGCAACTTTTGCATGGTCACCCACTGAAGCTAAGCAGGACTATTGTTGCTGCCAGAAGGAGTGTTTGCAGGGGAGAAGGCCAGCAGGGGACGCTCAACGGGGCAGGGGACGTCCTAACGCCCCAGTATATTGATGAGGACTCTATACATCTCAGTGAGTGCCGTCTTTTAGATGAGACGTTGAACCGAGGTCGTGATTCTCTGTGCTCATTAAAAATCCCAGGATAAATTGTTTGCATCTTTTGATCAGTTGATATCACATCATGGGTTGGTTAAGTCTGATTTTTTTCAGAGTCTTGCAAATAAGAGATTATGTTAGGTCTCTATTACTTGACTTCCTGTCTTGCACCTCTAGAAACCATTATGAATCTTTTTGTTCCTGTAATATATTAGTTAAAGGTTCCATTTCTGTATTAAGGATGCAACGATTATAGATTTTGGTTGTGCAATTGTAGTCTGAGGAATTACGGTTATCACGGTTATTATGCAGTCATTAGTTTCAAAACTCTGCTAGTTTAGAAAAATCACATAAAAACCCCTTATCCTTATTTTAAAGTGTTGTTTATTGCTGCTCAGTAACTAAATAATACAACACAAAATAATAATAAAAATAAACAATAGTCTGTTTCTCTTTGGACAAAAAAAGTTTTGGCATTTAAGCATAAGTAATAATTTTACACTGAAAATAAATGTCAATAAATAAAATTTAAATAAATACATTTTAAATAACTAAAAATTAATTAATTTTAAATAAATAAAATACTTTTAAACAACTATATAACAAAATTGTTTGGTATTTTTCATTTTGCATTTTTTTTCTCAGTGTAGGTGCTCGCGGCATTCTTTTTCAACTAGTATGTGCGTCTGGAAAGCACGAGCTTGCGTGTGCAAAACACATGATATATGACAGGCCCTTAGTTAATAGCCTCAGCCATAGTTAATCCAGTGTGCATGGTGTACAGTACAAGCTCGGAATTTCAAACTCGCACTTAGTTGGCATCATTTTAAGTTGCAGCAGTATTGTTTTATGCAGAAACATGGTGTTGAGAGGCCTTTATGATTAATTAACTGTGACAAATTAAATCACGATTAATAGTGAAATTGGTTAATCGTTGCATCCCTATTCTGTATTGTTTCTACTTCTGAATTAGTCATCATCCCTTACAGATAACATTAAGAGTGCTCGGGAAGAGGACCTGTGTGGTTCGATTTCGAATGATCTGTGGGACGATATTCTTAAACTATTCTCAATAATTTATTTTTATTTATTGTTATTATTATTATTTCTTTGCATTTGTATTTGAACCTACATGTACAATTGTATTTTTTTTTGTTTTTAGGCTAATGTGAGCGCTATCACCCTGCTGAATTGGTATGGGTTAGAGGTTTGTATTGTTTGTATTGTTCTTTTCTCATTTAAAAAACAAAAAATCATTAAAAATATCTAAAACAAAAATCCCTGCATTACCTTCAAAAATGTGTAGGTGTTAGCCCTGGCATCCTGGCCCACTGCCCACTGGCCTCTGTCCATCATGACCTCCAAACCATCCCTTCATCGCTCTGTCTCCTCCCCACCAATCAGCTGATGTGTGGTGCCAGGTCTGGCGCAACATGCTGCAGTCACGTCATCCAGGTGGATGCTGCACACTGGTGGTGGATGAGGAGTTTTTAGGGAGAAGGTGATTGGTTAAAAAGACAAAGTGAGGCGTGGTTCCCCTTCTGAACCACTGTTAACAAGTAAACTCCATTGATAATCAACTTTTACAATGCATTTTTTATTTGTATTTGTACGCTAAAAATAGCACGGTTCGAACACAAATGTATGAGAAAACTACATTCAAACATACACTCATTTGCCATAAGCAAGGTTAAGTATTGTTCATATAAAAATGTTTAAAGAAAAAAGTAATATAAAAATGAATGTTTCAATGTGTTAAAAAGAGAGTAGAACTACGAAACTTAAAAAGGAACAGTCAAAAAATAGAAGTTCTGTTACATTTGACCACAAACACATGGTAAAGAGTAAAAAGGAAAGGATGTGTGCATATCTACAGGACCATTTTGCTCTCATCTACAAATGCAAGTGCTGCTGGATTTGAGAAATCATTTTCAGACCTCACTGAACCTCTTGAGGCTGGGTTTTCAAGGTCCTCACAAGTGCACACATACTTGTGCAGGATGCTGTAGTATTGGTTCATGTTTTGGTACTTGTAGAACCTCGAGACCTTCTCCCAGGCCTGTCTTGGAGGGCTCTTTATAGGAATGGGTTTGGTTAACTCAAAGAAACTGGTTATGTTTCTCTTAGCAAGATTCTCGGCATGTTGAGATGTGTAGCTGTCCAAAAAGTCACTCTCCTTCTGAGTGTACATCTTCCAAAACTTCAGCTGCATGTAACTGATTGGAGAGTAGCATCTGGCCATGCATGTGAGCAGGAAGGTGAACAGCATGACAGAAGCTATCAGGGTCCAGCCAAGCACCTAGAAGTATTTTACAGAGTTATTTAAATGATTAATAGCATGCTATAAAGAGTAATAAATATTGAAAAATACACCATCAGATGTGTTGTAGCACAGGTAGGACTTTAAAAATAATTACTATGATTGGAGGGCCTTATGAATGCAAACATCATTTGTTAAAATAACCTATAATCTAAAAGCACTTATGAACATTGTAGTAATTTTTTTCACTTGAAAAAAATCTATGAAATTTACAGTAATTAAATTAATATTAACAATAAACCTTAATCTTTAATAAAATACCTCAGAAAACCTCAATTAGTTCGTTATAGTGTTTGCTACAAAAGCCCCATTCACACTACCAGCGTACTGATTCTATTTATAGTTAGTGCTTTCTCCTGCACAATTTTTATATATTCAGCTGCAAGAAAACATTGGCTGTGAGTGAATATCATACATGAATGTTACTTAAGCAACCTCAAGGTGGAGATGCCGACTCGCGACTTCAAAAGTTATGCAGCTACAGTCACAGACTCACAGGTAGTGTAAATGAGGCTACAGACCTAAACACCACCAAAAGCAGTGGTGATGTGAAAAGTTCTATGATGAACCAATGCTCATCACAAACAGCTAAGAAACATACTAATACATAGAAGGTGCTCTGTGTTATTCACACAACTGCTAACAGCATTATAGTAACACACATTGTGAAGTATATATTTATGAGCAATATCACACGAGTAGCAGAGCGATAAGGCCAAGTGCCTTAGCATCCCACCAGTGCTGATATACAGCCATATCGCACTGCTACAAGTGTGATATTGCGTTTATACAACAGTTCGACGGCACACTCGTGTATATATATAAAAAAATGAAACACTGAAAGTCTAAACACCCGTTTTGATTTAGGAACTAATTTCTTTTGCCATTTATTCACATCTGCAGCTGACGTCTAAAGAGCAGAAGTGTTATTAATTCACCAACGCCATTTTGGAGCTAGTGTTTGAATGATTCCCAAGTGTAATGTATAAAGTGATGACAAAACAGGTGATTTTGCTGACATTTTAAGATTATAAGGCTGAATTTGACATGAAATTCCCTCCATCACCAGAGATTTCTCCTTACAGTATTACAGTCTATTAGAGTCTACAGTATTTCTCTGTTGCAATCGGGATATCACAATAATTAACCCCGAAAAAGCAGCGCAATCACTACCATACTGCTGTTGTGTATGTGATAAGGAGGGGGTGTTCGGGGGTGAGGTCTCTGAATAACACTGCTGAGAAGCGGGATAGGAATGTAACTGTTAAAATACTGTCCTTATAAATATAAATATAAATCAGCCAATCAGATTCAAGAACCAGACAGAACTGTTGTATACATATATATAATCCTTATTTGATATAAAATTTGATATAACATCAAACTTCAATGTACATAACTGATCATTCATTCATATTCTTTTCAGCTAAGTCTCTTTATTTATCAGGGGTTGCCACCTGGAAATCTTTCACACACATGCACTTCGGTCAATTTAGCTTATTCAATTTACCTATACTGCATGTCTTTGGACTGTGGGGCAAACCGGAGCACCCAGAGGAAACCCACGCGGACACGGGAGAACATGCAAACTTTACACAGAAATTCCATCTGACTCAGGGCTCGAACCTTCTTGCTGTAAGGCAATCGTGCTACCCACTGCACCACCATGTTGCCCCTATCCTGGGGGATGTACATTTTTTTAAAGAATCAAAATTACTTGGTCAATAGCAATTAATTAATTTTATGATAAAATTAAAATAAATTTTCTTATGGTGTTCACTTTTAAATGATACAAAATTTAAAAAGTCATGCAGGAAATTCTGGGAAAGTCATTTTATGGTTATTTACTGTAAACAGTGAGGATGTTAACCAGGTTACAGACTTTTACTGCGGCATTTTAAAAAAAAATTAAATCAATGGCATTTTTTCCTGCACTCACAAGATGTTCGTCTTTGTTTCCCTGACATTGTAGAAAAAAAAAATTCTGTTACCTTCTGGCTAGACCAAAAGTCTTGTCTAGTGATATATAAAATATGTTCTATATACTATTATGCATAAAATTTTTGCTGTTGTTCAAACGACTTATTTAAAATGAGCTGAAACAACACAAGTCTTGAGATTGTTTTGGGACAACTTATTTGTTTTATGTTCAATCCACTTAAATTTGTTAATCAATCTGTGATGGGGCAACAGGAACGAATTGTGCGGAAACCTGCGTTTTGTACAGTGTAGAAAGCAAATCACATCAACAGCAAAACCGATGGAGTTTTTTTTAAGCTATAGCCTACTCAGTTCTTTGCGTTTTTGCTGCATTATTTGACTTCAAAACCATTAGTTACAAATGAGATATGGCAAGAAAGAGAGCTAAGATACAAACTAGCTCTCTATTTAGTATTTTCACTACAACACATTACGTTCACAAAGATCATAGCAAAATACAAATGTTCTGTCAATGCAAGCAGTTTAAACCATCATGTTTGATATAATTTGAGATGTCTCTGAGCAATTATATGAAAAAAGATAAAGGGATTATCAAATTTGTAATTCTTGATAATGCAGAGAGTGTACCTTTATCTGGGGTCTTCAATTAAAGTGAAAATGTTTTAAATGTTCTCCACAGGCATGCCTAATGGTTATGAATCTTTGACCAACTATAGAGGGTGTGCCTTGGGGTCTTCCATTCAAATAACTCCCTGTTACCCACAGGGCACAAAGTCTCAGATTCCACTCTGTTTAAATTCCCATTGTTCGGTTCAGACACCTGCAGGACGTTCTGTCTTGGTTTGAAGAGTGTAAAGAAGCTCAGGGCAATTCTGTAACCAGACCAGTTGATCAGATCAGATTTGGTCACTCACACCCCCAAATAATAGAGTTAGGGGCATGCCTTCTTCAGAAAAATATTACATTTTAGTACCTTTCAGTACATTTTTAGTACCCTACACATTTACATGTAAAAGCCACCCTTTGCTAATTCATACTTTTGTTTTTACGTGAGATCAGGCTAAAATGACTGCCTTGAGAAAGCAGCAGTAAATAAAGCATATAATATTTATTTATTTATTTAGATTATGACATTATGATCAATTAAAATGACTCTTACTACAGTTTGATTAGGAAATCAGAGGAGGTTTTTTTCTGTTTTTGATACAAGCTGTTCACAGAATATCAACGAAAAGCAATTGATATATGAAAACTCTTTACATGTTGCCCTTTATGAAGCACATATACAACGGTGGGATAATATGGAAGTCTGTTCAACATAACATAATGATTCAAAACTTATCCTAAACATGAGGTTGTGACTACATGACATATTTAGGGTAAACATTGCAAATACATTGAAAAACCCCATTTGAACTCTTAAAAATGCAAGAGTAGAAAATGAAAATGAAAAATGAAAAAATAAATTTATTTTTTTAAAAATGTGGACTCAAATAAAACCTAATGATTTTTTCTATTTTCTGTATATTTATATAGAATTTAATCTTATGCTTTATAAAAAGGACCAATTTATTGTTATTTTATTTTTTTATTTGAAGCTAAAAATAAAAATCTGACTTCCTCTCTGACCTCCCCAATAAAAGTCCATTTGTAATCATTTAAAATGATTGCTACAGTAAATGTCTGTAACCTGGTTAACAACATCCTCACTGTATACGATAAATAACCATAAAATGACTTTCCCAGAATTCCCTGCATGACTCTTTTTTAAAAATTTGTAATCATTTAAAAGGGAAAACAGTAAGAAAATGTATTTAAAATTGATCAGAAAATTAATTAATTGCTATTGACAAAGTAATTTTGATTCTTTAAAAAGTGTACATCCCCAGGATAGGGGTCACATGGTGGTGCAGAGGGTAGAACAATCGCCACACAGCAAAAGTTAGCGTTTCATTCTGCTGTGGCGACCCCTGATAAATAAAGGGATTAAGCCGAAGGAAAATGAATGAATGAATCCCCCAGCCTGGATATGTTTACCTACGATATTAATTAACTCAATAATAAATTATTTCTATGTCGCCTCACAGCAAGAAGGTTGCTGGTTTGAGTCCCAGCTGGGTCAGTTGGCATTTCTGTGTGGAGTTTGCATGTTCTCCCCGTGTTCGCATGTGTTTCCTCAGGGTGCTCCCGTTTCCCCCACAGTCCAAAGACCTGTGGTACAGGTGAATTGGATTGACTAAATTGTCCTTCAAGAGTTCACACTTAGATATTGTTTGACAAATGGTAGCAGGTTTGGCATGCTGCCCCGAGAGAGAAGACTAAGCTCGGAGATAATTGAGCCAGGGCTGCAGCCTGGTCGATTGAGCATGTAAGGGGAGTACGAGATCAGGTAGTTCTCGAGAGCTCCCTGTGGTAAAGGAAGAAAGGGGGAGATGGGGTGGATGGGGGGTTTCTTCGGAAAACGAGGATAAGGGAGTAATTATTTGCTATGCTACTTATAGTGAGTTTGGATTAATCTGATTGGCTAACTAATGATTGTAAATGAGATACCAGCTGCGGTCAATCATATTTCATGCTCCTCTCGAAATTAGTTTGTGAAACTTTACATAGTGTATGACTGTGAATGAGTGTGTATGGATGTTTTCCAGAGATGGGTTGCAGCTGGAAGGGCATCCGCTGCGTAAAACATATGCTGGACAAGTGAATGAATGAATGAATGAATGAATGAATGAAATATTTCTTACAGATGCCTGCTACAACTTTTTTTTTACTTTTTAAAACTTTATACTTAATGACTTACAATAAACTTTTATTTGCAACTAATTCTGCTAAACAATAAACAATATATGTTTAGATTTATTTCAATGTAAGTTAAGAATGACAAATTTTGAGGAATAATTCCTATAACACAACAAATGAAAACTATTACTTGCATGTAGAAACCGATTGCTAAAATTTAGTTTATAAAAATATTTTACATAAACATGATTAGCTGTTAACAATTTTTGATACATGAAGCTGAATAGTTTCCCAAAAAGGGAAGTGAAGTTTACAAGTGCTTCCTGTTAGATAAGTATAATGAACAAAATAACCTGATGTAAGCATTCACGACAAATAACTTTTCAAATGGACACATAGAAATTAGATTAGTTTTCTCAGTTATTTGCCCATATGATAGGATACGATGTCCCTTTTAGAGTTAAATACTTTCTTTCAAATGCTGAATAATGTTTTGTAATTAATTCAAATACTTAATACTTTGTATATTCGCTTTTTTCGTACAAAAGGTGAAATGATTTCATGGCAAGTCAACATCTCTGCCGAAGTCTGCTCACCTGTGACTCTGCTCGTATGAGGGACAGAACAGCTTCTCTCTCATTTTGCGGGATTCCAGTGGCAGTGCTAGCACAGGGGAACTTCTCCAGGTCTGTTCGACAGTGAGGATACTTATCGCTGCAAATGTGACGTCTGAAGAGGGTAAAGTTGGCGCCAGTCATTGAACACTCGAAAAACTCTCCTTTAAGCAGAGCGACTGCGATCCAGCTGAGAGGTGCAACCATTGCAGTCACGGTGATTTGAAGAAAAACGCACAGAAAGCCAAACGTATAATTAAAACGACATAGTCTCGATCTCCTGTAGCACAGACCGGTGAATAATTTCCATGTTTTGTTGCTCAACATGTAACTTAGGATGAGCAGTGCAGCTGCGGGCACGAGGAGGCAGACGTTGCCATACACGAAGTTCCAATCATTGCAAGGGCACTTAAAAGCAAAGACCGAGAAGACGTGCTCGCTTCCCACAGTTATGATAGAAATAAGTCCGAATCCTAAACTGGTCTCCTGTTTCTGAGCGAAGCTGAATAAAGATTTTAACTTATCCATGCCTGCTAGCTGACGACCGACAAATTATGAAATGACTTACTCAGTTCCTTTATGAGACTGCTGAGTGTAATGAGAAATAAAGATCTGTCCCTAGGGCGGTACTTTTTTGAAAGTTAAAATGTTCTTCCTAACAGCTTCTTAAAGGCACACATTACTACCTAAAAAGTACAAATGTGTACCACACAGTACCTTAAAGGTGTAAAAATGAACCGTTAGGTACAAAAGTGTAGGCTATCCTAAAGGTTTTTTGATAAGGGACCGCCCAAGTGAGTGTGTCAGATGTCAGTCTGAGTGTGTCAAAGACAATGGGTGCGCAATAAAACGTGCTGTTTATATAAAAAGAAAAAAAAATGCTGTGGTTGACTGTGAGAAACTAAAAAACAAACAAAAACAGATTTGTATAACACCTTTGTAAACTATTTGGCTATGCAACACCATACTTTCGGTGATGTGTGAAGCCACATTTTGACTATCGCCACGGTCTGCGGTTCTCAGTTTTGAAAGGACCCACTAGGGGGCCCCAGCAAAGCTAAGGGCCAGACTTAAAACTATATTTAGGGGAGTTTAGCAAAATATGGTAACTTCTATTTAAATAGCATTTTTACTTGTGTGTTAGTCTATTGCAGATACAGATATTAAAACCATGGCTGCAAACGCTATTAGCTTACACTCTAGTGCTCACGGACTGTAGGGTCCAGCCAGTTGGTCCAATGACGGTATCCAATGGTGGATGAAGGTTCACTGCATGTTCGGTCTTTCCAGTGCACAATGTTGATTTATATTAAACTTAACTCATATCTGACTCCAATTTTAGTATGAGATGGTTTAGAATATTAATATGTTTATCCTCGTTTTATCTGACTCCAATTATAAAACATTGAGAAGATTATTTTGTTTCCTTTCACATTATTTTAGATTATGATTGAATATTCTCTTCGGTTCATCATTTTATGTTATTCTCGTTCATTGGGATCTCTATAACATCCTGAATCTTGTACCGGCCGAGTATACAATTTCTTAAGCACAAGCATGTCAGTCTTGGTCACTAAACAGGGGCGATTGACCGCTATCCTAAAAAGGCAGAACCCTACTTACTCAGATTAGGATATTTTTTATGCGGTCCCCATAGGTCTGCTACCTCCTAAATCAGACAGAGCTATTTAGTCATATAACGATCATTACTATAGAATTAAGCAGACCAGTCGTACTTAAACTAGTAGTAACTTTGAATAATCACTATACTATCTAAATAGTATTAAAAGTTTATCGGGTGAAGGACTATCCCCTTAGATATCCTTTTACAGCCTAAGTATACATGAATAAATGACAATTTGTTAGTCGGAGCTCTAGAGACATCGTGTAACGTGCCGCAATGCTCCGTCTACCGTGTTCTAGTCCGCTACTAACCTGAACAGGGGCTTGTGGTGCTATGAAATTACCACAATCTACTAAAGATAATAACACCAACTCTGTTTGAATCATTCAAAACATAACAATTTATTAGTCAGGTAAATGTATTATGCCAATTCAATCAGTCAATTCATAAATGATCAATACAACACATCAAATTATCAAAGATAAATCCAAGATGAAAAAGATGCATTCCTGACTTTGAAATATACATAACATGGGGCAGACCCCATGTTATGGGCTGATCTGGTTAGGGAGAATCGCCCTGAGTCCTTCTTAGGCCTTACCTTAAATAATCCAAGAATTCCCTCAAGGAAGGGGGTGTGAATGTATAACAAAAGGCATTCACACTTAGTGTCACACCCCTCACAGTGGATCAAAAGATGCCTGAAGTTATATATTTATTGTTCTGATTATGTCTATTTCTGAGAGAATGAGACCATTGTACCAATCGCACTGAGACATTTCAAATGATATCAAACATGATAATTAAAGTCAGTTTGGTTAATCTAAAACATTCAAACATTGAAATGACCATATGCGTGAGTTGGGGGATGAAGCTGAGTCTCAGCATAGCCAGATGCAAATGCAGCAGGAACTGGTTTTTCCCGCATTCCTCCCTGGTGGGTTGTGAAGTCACCAGTCTCTGTTTTCAGCTCATGTTTTGAATTGTCAAAGATATCATAATATTTGTAATATTTCAATTCTTACACGGACTCATGTGGTACAGTGGCTCTGCAGCGAACAGTGTCTCCACAGACTGCCTTTGACCATTTAAGTTTGATAGACAACTATTATAGCAGGTCCTAGAAACAGAAACAAAAAAGAGTCGTCAGCTCACTCATGCAAAATGCTGAACTTGAATTATGCATGCACAAAACGCCACATATTTTATATTGTTTACATTTTAAGGGCTCCAAAATGTAAACCTGCTAAAAAAAAAATCAAAGCATATCAGTTTTGAAAAATTGAAAATAGTGTTGTGTAAATGGCCTCTAATATATTGTATAGGGTAGAAATTGTGAGTGGGTTTTTAAAAATATACTACTTTTATTCATTTTCTGGAGGAAAAACACACAAACACAGGCAGGCAACTGGTCCACAGAAATGGCAACTGGTCCAGCTGGAACTTGAACCAGCAACCTTGTTGCAGTGAGGTGACTGTGCTAGCCACTGTGTCACCTATTATTAATTTTATATAAGTATTTTTAATCTAATATAGTATACTTATATAATCTATTTATTGTCTGTCTTTTTATTCAATAATTATAAAATTTAATAAAAAAACAAACAAAAATAAGTTAAAATATTTAATATAGTTAAAATAAAATATTTTGAAGACCGTGGTATATGAGTGCAGGACCGCTTCTGGCCAAAAGTGTGCCTTATGCGAAATTTTACTGTGGTGCCCCCACAGAGGAACAAAAACACATAAACATATGTATTTAAACATGTATTTATTTATTTATATACACAAATCTGCATATAAACACTCAAAATTAAACATTCAAATATTTACATTATAAAATAATAGTTTACATCAAAATAAACACGGTAATGTCTTCTGCAGAAGGATTCCCAATTTCAAATATTTACAAAAGGTAAGGAATAAACCCTCTCTGTACCTGTAGTGATGGACGGTCCCGTGTCTGTACCTGTAGAGATGTCCCAGTGCTGCATCCTCTGTCTCTGTCTGTATCAGTGCAGCTGCTGGTGCATGGAGCAGTGCTGGATCAGGCCACCTCATCTACTTTTGTGACAAATTACAGCTTTTAACCTCCATGTACAATACAGAAGAAAACCAGAGGGTTTTTAAGAATTTAAAAGTCTATTAAAATGAGTGTATTAAAATTTGTGTATTTAACATTCAGAATAAAAATCATTAATGAATTGATGCAATAAAAATGGTTTATGGCCTGTGGCTTACAGTAATTTGACCCATTTTATATTATTGATCTTTCAGAATTATGAGTCGGATTTGTTATTTCATATTTTAATGTACAGAAATCCAAAAACTGGCCTAAAACACACCAATCCACTAATAAAGACTAAAGAGACTTTATTGTCATTGCAGTGATACAATCAATAACAACAGCAACAATAAGACATGAATAGAAAAAAACAAAACAATAAACAACTGCAAAGAATTACATAATATATAATTACATCATATAATAGGCTAACTATATAATAATAAATAAAACATAAAGTGAAATAATTGTACAGTGCATGTGTATGTAGCTGGTGCACAAACAGAATTGTAAAGTATTGCGCAAGTTAATACAAACAACTTGAGTATGTGTAATTATCAGCAACATGGGGAAGAGCGGCGGTACTGAGTTTGTGAATGAGAGAGTGAATAGATGTTTACCTGTCAGGCCCGGATTGGCTAATCGGGAGAACCGGGAGAATTCCCGGTGGGCCGGTCCGTTATTTGGCCGCGAGGGCCGGTGTCCGTAGCTCCAGAATCTTTTGCTCTCAGCAGTCACACTTTTTAAATTTATTTATTTACTTGACCACAGCCTTTTAATTCTTTATTTTACCACAACTCTTCTCTTTTCATCTATTTTAATGATTATAAAACTTAGTTGTGTCTCAGTTCTGAATACAGCTATTGTGGTCCAGCGGTTAGCTTGTTAGGTTAAGACGCCGCGGACCCGGGTTCGATCCTCATTAGAATAACTTATTGTTTTCGTTTTTATTGTTAAGACATATAATACTGTTAGGGTTGTTGAACATTTGAAGTTCTAAAGCAGCTGTTTTTTTTTTTAAAAAGACGTGATAGTGTCATTAGAAACTGATTTGGAAATGACCTTATTTTAATATAGTCAGTCGTGAACTGAGGTGGGCCGGTCTGAGGCTTGAAACTCCAGGGCTGAAAAGGTGTCCCACTCCGGCCCTGTTACCTGTATTGGGTTACAGCTAGAAGGGCATCTGCTGTGTAAAACATATGCCAGAATAGTTGGTGGTTCATTCAGCTGTGGTTACCCCTGATGAATAAGCATGAATAAGAAAAATGAATGAATATTTTGAAGAATGTCGGAAACTGTCAACATCCATTTGGGAAAAAAAAAACTACAATCTAGACTACTCTTTTGTGTATAGTTATGATCATATTTTGTAAAACACTCAAAAACATTATGGAAGTAGAGTAAATGATGACAAATTTAAATTTTATAGTGAACTGTCCGTTTAAGACTAGTGTAATATCAAAATATGCTTCACTGTAATTAAAATACAATTGCACAATGTTTTTAATCTCTGGTTGTACTTCATATTCGGCGCCTCATGGACACACATGATCCCGCGCATGTGACCGCAAGAGGCGGGGACTGATTAAGACTCTCGCGTTTACAGTAGCTCAGCTGCATCGGGCACAGACATAACGAGCAACACCCCCTGTCTCCGGACAGTTTTTTTCCCGGGGTCGATGCAGATATTTTATTTGAGGTCAGTCAAAGTTGACAAGTGACCCGACGACGGATAAACCCATTTCGACCGAAAGAAGAGGACACTGGAACCGAAGGTACACTGCGTGCGTGCGCTTTTTAGCCCGTGGATGTCTATATGTTTACCATATCTTTTCAACAAACAGAAACGTTTAGACAGTGTTTTCCGATGGATGCTGAAGGTATATACCGAAGCAGTTCACAGCTGAATGTCATAAGGTTGCCTTTGGGCGGGTCTTCAGTGAGGATTATATTTATTATTGCCCAAATATTCTTGGTTCTGCCCTGTTGCTAGGAGACCTTTGACAGTTGGGGTTTAAAAGTGATTGTGGAGGGACTC